TTCTTAACTAAGTGGGCTGTGCCGGGAAGTCACATCGTTAGCCTTGAAGCTTCCTTCATAAAGTCAACCCTCACCTTAAGTGAGCCGATTATCTTTTGCCCCTAAAGTGACACCCTTGGAATGCCAGTAACCCCTTTTTCCAGAGTGGGAAACGACAGAATCCCTCATTATTGTTGTCCCTTGATTAACAACTCTATGTGAACTATTAACTATCCTGTACCCACCTATGAGAAAGAAGCACCTGTCCCTCCAATCCCAGAGGTTTCCCGGTTTGCTTTCTCCCACCCCCTTAATCCACCACCAGTGGATTTCATCTAACCCTCCTCCTTTGAGTGTAAGTATAAAATAAACTGCAAACCACCATTTTGCAGAGCATTTTCTCAATCCTTTGAGATTTTGCTTCTCGACAACTGTCTTCACTTTGGCTCAAATACACTCTTACGATCTTAATCTTACACTGCATGGTTTTCGTCGACTCCTTCCACCTCTTTTCTGGGCCCCAGCAGAGAAACGCAGTTGGGATAGGCCCAGCTAAGCTCCTGCCAGCACAGTGAGCTGTGAACCAGTACACTTCCATACTGCGGAGCTGATTTGTCCCTAACAGTGAAGACGTCTCAAATGACACCAAGTCCCAGGACAGTGTAAACTGAAGGAATGAGAGTTACTGCTGTGAAGGTTTGGTTCCTAGACGTTGACTGCAAACAAAAGGACTTACAGGGGGGAGTGCAGTTCAGTACGTGGAGCCACAGTGAGCTATCTGCAAGTTGGGGGGGGGGCGGGGGGGGACGACGACGACAAAGGAGAGGAAGAGGGGGCAGTTACAATCGGAGAGTCCCTCTTGTAGGGCTTTTGCTACTCAGGTAGGGTATGAGAGCTCCTCCTGCAGGCCCTCGCAACTCCTGTCTGAGCTGAAGTATCAATTTTGACATGGGGGACGGTGAGGTTTGCAAGGGGGACAACTGGTCAAATTTCTTTGGGTCATGCAAGGCAGAGAGAAGTTTTTTCAGTACTATGCAAAGGAGTGAGGTGCAGATGTGAGCCCCTAGCTGCACAGGAGGAAGGAGAAGGGAGCTGCCTGCAGCGTGGCATCTGGGGGGCAGTGTGCTAGAAGACCACTGGGTGCCCACAGACCTGGAGGGGCCAGGGTGTGTGCGTGTGCCTGTGTCCGTCCCACACAGGTGCCAGGTAAGGCGTGCCCACTTGGTTCATCTCAAGATGCGTATCGGTGTCCTGGTGAAGCCGGCCAACCTAAGCTTTGGTGCCCTGTGGGACACTCCTTGGGAGGCTGAGCCCTGATTGTGGATGGTAGACCAGATCTCGGGGCAGGGAAATTGTTCTACTGCATCAGGCTTTGGGATGCTCTTGACCAGGCGGTGGGGGACCCTGCACAGGCTGCCTGATGAGCCCTCACGTGTGACGGTTGAGGCACCTCTGTGGGACATCAGCCTGGGTTGTATTGTCTTCAGAGTACAGCACTACTAAGACTTCCTTTGGTTCAGGTAACCCTTTTTTTTAAGTTTCTTTTTATTCTGGTAATATATAGGTAACATAAAATTCACCATTTTAACCATCATTAAGTGTACAGTTCAGTGGCATTAAGTACATTCTCATTGTGCAACCATCACCACCACCCATCTCCAGAATTTTTTTCATCATCCGAAACTAAAACTGTACCAAGAACATCTGAAACTGACCAAGATTGGAGTGACCGGAGATAGACTTGCTCTCATCCAAGAAATGGACAAAATATGTCATAGGACACTGCCATTCCTCACTGTTTCTTGTGACTTATAAGAGGAAAACCTTAAGGGAAGAACCTGAGTGGGTAGCAGCCTCAGAGAGCTGGGGCCAGTCTGGGAAGACCAAACTCCGGAACTTCTGGCTGTAGCTAGTGCTGGACCAGGCCAGTCACTTGGGGTGGTGGCAGTAGCAGAAATAGGCATTCTGCGGGCACCAGGTGGATGGCAGCTAGGCTTGTGAGTATAGACAGGAGGGCCCTGGGTGGCACCTCCAAATCCAGGGCTCAGCTGGCAGCTGGGTCAGACATCAGGTGGCTGGCGACCTGCCAGGATCAGGTCTCAGAACGAGGCATGGTAGCTTGTACAAGTGGGGAGGTGCCAGGGAGGGGAGGCAGGTTCAACAGTGCTCCCAGGGTGTCAGGCAGTGGTCTGGGCGCCCCCTCCCTCCTTCAGCGGCATGTGCTGTGGACCCCTTTTTAGAGAAGAAAAGTGAGGCACCAAGGCTGGAAGTGACCTGCAGAAGGTCCCCAGATATGAGATGGGCCAACTCAAGCCTAGAGAGTTGCCACCTGTGCCTCTGCATCAGAAACCAGGAGCTCTGATGAGGAAGACCTCACCCAGCACCCTTAACTCGCATCCATGTGTCAGCCCTCTGACCTGGCTGCAGCCCCATCCAGACACATCACCTGGGTCCGCCCCCAACCCTGCAGATCCCCCCTTCCTACAAAGCACACATCCTGTGGTTGGCTGAATGTCCCCTTGGGGTCTCCAAGGCTCTGCATTTGGCTGGCGATGGGCCACTAGAGACCCTCTGATGGGAAGGGTCCCATCTGATCTGGGCATGCTCAAAGGCCCTGGGCACCTGCCCAAGGCCACAACGGTTCTGACCCTGAACCTCGCCAGACCAGGATGAAGGTTCCATGACATGTTCCATTTAAAGGGCTTAGGTGCTGGAACAATGTTTGAAGGTCCCCAATCCTGACCCAGGGCTCTAACATGGAGGGAGCAGCACCAGCCCCTCCCCCCATGCCACTGGCCACCCAGGGGCTCCATGACACTGCTGAAAGCTCCCCCAGGGCACCTCCAGCATGATTGTGGTTGTGGGTGGCATTTAAGGCAGAGCACTGTGGGCAGGGGGTGGGCCTTGAGGCCTGGAGCAGACCAGCACATCATGACCCCTTGCCCCAAGGCATCTGTGGCACCCTCCCAGGGACTCTGAGGTGCTGGGAGGGCGAGGGTGTCCACATGTTTCAGGTGAATACCAAGCTCCCTGAACCGTGAGGTGAATACCAAGCTCCCTGAACCGTGAGCGAAGTACACACCAAGAGGCCAGCTACTCAGGGCCTCAGTGGTGCCCTGAGGGTCCCTGGCCATGATCACTCTGAGTGTTGTGTTCAGGGGGGAAATGTGGGTTCCTTGTGTGGTGTCAGGGCAAGGCCTGAGATGGAAGTGTGCGCCCACCCACCCACTTCCCAGGACGGCGGCTTGTTAGCACTCTCAGGGACAGAAACGGCGTCCCCACAACACACATGGCTCCCACTCACAGTCAGAGTGGACTTTTATTAGGAAATCTCCCTGCAAACACACCGAGAAGCGCTGTGCTGTGGGTTCAACGCATTTCCTGAGGAAGGTGGGTCACAGTATCAGAGCTTCCAGGGATGGAGCCAGTGAGCGGGCGGCTGCTCAGCGCGGCCGCAGCCGGCACTCCCCCAGCGACAAGACAGCCATTGCGATCAGCACACAACGCGACAAGAGAAACACCTGGCACACACCACTGCGCTACACACATAGGAATCACGGACACAAATCCGCTGGCTGTGTTCCGTGCCTGAAACACAGGGGACCACAGGGATAAAGAAAAAGGAACCAGAAACCTCCCTTTCCATCAGACCAAGGGGAGAATATCCCCACATTATCAAAATTCCTGTTACAAAATACATTTTTTAAAATTCCAGTAGTAAAAGAATAAATAACAAAATATATAAAAAATAACTTGATAGCATCAAAATTATAACTGGAAGTTACAGCAAGAGTTTTTTGTGTGGCCTGTCTCATAGTCAAATATTGGGTCTTCAGAAAAGTCATGACGTATTTTGTGTTTTTCAAAGGTCATTTATTTATATAAAGAACAAAGATCAATCAATGATATATTGCCTGTTTTGTTCAATAACCGTTTGCCATCTTTCAGTGAGCTTCATAATTCCTCATTCATAGAAGAACCTCCCTTTATTTGTGAAAAAATGAACAAGGTGCTGATTTACGGCCTCATCCGAATTGAACATTATGCCACGCAAGGAGTTTTGAAGAGGGCAAGACAAGTGGAAGTCTGATGGTGCATGGTCAGGCAAGCATGGTGGCTGTGGCAACACATCCCACCCAAGCTCCAATAAATTTTGACGGGTGATCAAACTTGTGTGTGGTCTCATGTTGTCGTAATGGAACACAACTCCTTTACAATTAACAAACTTGGACATTTCTGGATGATGTATTAGTTCAAACTGTCCAATTGCTGACAGTACACATTCGAATTGATTGTTTGGTTTCTTGGTAGGAACTCGAAAAACACACCTTTAAAATCCCACCACATTGAGAGCATAACCTTCCTCTGATGAATGTCTGCTTTCGATGTCGTTTGAGGCGAATCATCACATCGGGACCAAGACCGTTTGTGCACCGCATTGTTGTAAACAACTTCTCATCACCAGTTATCAGTTGCTTCAAAAAAGGATCGTTTCCCTCACGCTTAATGAGCATATTGCAGATGTTTATACACGGTGTCAAATGAACTTCTTTTAGTTCATGCAGAACCCAAATATCGAACTTGCTTACATATCCCAGCTTCTTCAGGTGGTCGTGAATGGTTGAATGATGAATGTTCAATCTTTCTCCAATCTCTTGTGTCGTGTAACGTGGGGTTTGACTCCATCAATGCCTTTATTTTGTTGTCATCAACCTCGGTGGGCCTCCCTGACCGAGGAACGTCGTTGAGATAAAAATCACCAGCACGGAATTTGGTGAACCATCGTTGGCACTGACGTTCTTGTAGAGCATTGTCACCGTAAACTTTATGCAACTTTTCACAAGCTTGATGTGCGTTCTTCCCATTATGGAAGTAAAACAGTAAAATATGGCAAAAATGCAGTTTGGTTTTCCATCTTCAACTTGTTGTAAAATCTCCAAAACTCAACCAAATCACTCGATTTTTTTTTTAGAATGAAGCTAGAACTGTTAGCTATCAAATGACATAGCAATAACACAGATGCGAATGTTGCAAACATGTGTCATGACTTTTCCAAAGACCCAACAGTTAGTTTTGCTTACATTTCATTTGTTTCTCATGGTGTCCTGGTGCGGGGTCTAGTTAAAATAGTATAAAATTAATAAATAAAAATGTTAAATAAATAGCAAACATTAACATAACAGGTTGTGAATATAAATACATCTTGACAAAATTAAATAATTTACAGAATAATTAAACTAACTACTTTTTTATTTCTTCCAGGAAGAGCAATTTCTCTACTTTTAAATAACTAACTTGGAATTGCAGTCACAATCAATTTCAACTCTATTTACATGTAGGAACATTGTGTTCTTAACACATTGAATTAAAATTTACCTTTTCTCGCATCTTGACTAGATCTAAAAAAAAGTGAAACCTTGGTGGTCTACAATTAGGAATGTGTCCCCGACCTCGCTGGCATTGTCCCCATCTAGGTCAGGCTCAGCCGTGACCCAGGTAATTCGGCAGTGAGGGTCACGGGCCTGGGTGGACGCACAGAGAACCAGAGGCCCTGGCCCGGTGGAGGGGCCTGACCCCAGGCCTCACGTGTCTGCAGGTTTGGAGGGCCAGCTGCCCAAACGACCGGCCTTCAATGTGTAGCCAGCGCTGACTCAGAGGCGTCCCAGGTGCAACCCGTGGAGCTGACACTGGGCTGCAGGCCCATTCCTAACATTTCCCTGGAACAGCGCCTTGTTCCATCTTCACACAAAACGGAATTTAAGGAAAACAGAAAGCACAGTGCCGCGCTGGCCTGGCTGAGCCGATGCTGGGCTGTGCCCCAGCCCGACCGGCTCACCTCCCAGCCCGACAGACAGGAATACTGTGGTTGCAAACTCCAAAACTTCCCTGAGAACCTTGTCCATCAGCTTCCCCTGGAGACTTCGAGCTGCTCTTCGGGTTATTTCCCGGAAAGAAAAATAAGTCAATTTGTGATGCTTGGCGGCCCGCACGCACACGGGAGGCCGAGGCCCCCGGCCTGGCAAGCGTGGAGGGACACACTGGTTTGTAGGCACCCGAGGGCACCCCTGGCTGCCAGGCTGTCACTGTGAGCGGGGACTCTCCACCAGGAAGGCAGGGTGAGGGAGGTAAACACTGGAGCCAAGTGGGATACCCTGGGCACCCCAGATCCACAAGGCCAGGCCTAGACCTGGATGCCCCGCACAGCCTGCTTGATGCTGTCCAGGAGGTCCTTGTCACTGGGGTCCTGCTTGGAGCACATGTCGGTGAGCGTGCTCACGTAGGCGTCGAAGTTCTGCTCGCATATGGGCTCCTGAAGGAAGAAGCGGCTTAGCCAACCATGTCTGGGCAGTGGCCCCCTGTTCTCAGAGAGGAGGAGCCTCAATGGGAAACACTAGATACACCCCCCATGCCGCCTATACCTCCCATGTGACCTTCACCCCCCCAGGCCACCTGTAACACCTACACCACCTGAGACCACCCCACATGTCCAGGGACGACACTTGGACTGAAGCAGCACAAGGTCCCAATAGTGCCCCAGTGGGCACAAGGCTGGCCCTTACCCTCCCGTCCCTGGAGCCAGCCCTCGGCCGCCTACCATGTGTGGAAGGCGGATGTTGGCCAGACTCTGGATCAGGGCCTGGCTCAGGCCTGACAGCTCCAGAAACAGGGCTTCGTTCTGCTCCTCGATGAGCCTGTTCTCATCCTCGATAGTCTTCAGGCTCCTCTCCATGGATGAGATCTGCACGGACAGACGTGGGAGCCCAGCCCCGTGTCCTCCCGGGCACGGCGGGCATGCTCACTGTGTCCCACCCCACGTCTCAGAGTGCATGAGGAGGCGGGGCTCTGCCCCGTGGGGGCACTGCCACAAGTGAGGGCTGGTCCTGCCCTGGTCCCCGGTGGAGGCGGGGTCTTCCCACTGGGCTGGGGATGGGAGGAGCACAAAGCGCAAGCTCCAATCCCGGCCCGCCGGCAGCCATGCTCCATAGTCCTGGCCGTATTGGGAATACCACGACAACCTTGGGGGGTGTCCGGCTGCTTCTGAGCCCCCAGAAAGACCCACAGAGTGTCTAACGCAGCTGAGTGCAGCCATCCGGCCACACAATAAGTACCCAGCATAGACACACCTGCTCCAGACCCACAGGTGAGAGTCCCACTCAGAAGCCCAAACGCTTCTACCAAGGGGGCTCTCAGGGTTCCACAGTGGGATCCCACAGGATGGAGACAACAAGGCTGATGGCCGGGGCAGTCCTGCCTGCTCTAGGTGGCCCAAGCCTAGAGTCTCAGGGTCGATAGCCCTGAGCAGAGGCCCCACAGCCAGTGCAGGAAGGGTGGGCAGCCTGCCCCGCGGCCTGGTCTGGAGAAGACGTGCTTGGGAGGGCAGCCCCGAGCTGGACTAGGGCTGGAAGGAGCCTGGGGCGGAGGCAAGTTCAGCGTCTGTCACACAGAGGGCTGTCCCCCAGTGTGCAATGGGCAGCTGCCGTTTAGGAAGCTGTGCACCAGGCAGCGTGCTTTCCTCCAACCACGTGGCTCTGGGATCTGTGGCTGGGGAACATCACGCTTCTGTTACCTGGTGACAAGTCGTGGACTTGAAAAGGGCTGAGTATGAGTTGGGAGATCGGCCTTCTCTTTGCCTGAGCCCTTCTGCAGAGCCCGTGACCCAAAGCTCCCTCGAGGGTAAAGGGGTCCTTGAAAAAGGAAGCTGGTGATCATCTGTCTTTAAACAGGTGGGCCTTGGCAAACACAGAACAATCAGAGGTGCTGGCTCAGGGTTCGGACTGTGGGAGGCCCTTGGGCTTTGAGAAGGGCAGGGGCAGGGGACAGGGGGTGGCAACCACACGGCCATGTGTCTCGGCGCTGAGTCAGTTGGACACTTCCTCTCTGCTTCTACTGCCTGTGGACTTGGGAGGACACTGCACAGCACAGCGAGGGGCCTTCCTGATCTCCACGAGCTGAGGCTGTGCTTACACGGGGTTCTGAGTAACGGGGCCGGTGTAACAGTCTATTAGCCGGCAGAGGAAGCATCGCATGACCCGTCACACTGCAGACTCTGGACAGGAGCCCCACCACCTTCCCACCGTCCTCTCTGCCCTCAAATCCTGCAGGGCCTGGTCACCTCCTTGTCCCCTTGTCCCTCCAGCCATAAGGACAGGACTATGTGTGCCCAGCTCTGCTCCGGCCTACACTCATCAGCTGAGGGTGGGCCAGGGTCTTCTCTTCCCAAGAAAACCTTTACAGCTTTGCTCTGATTACAGGTGTTCATTTTAGGGAAGCAGAGATACGACACACCCACTCAGAGTGCATTGTAAGCCCATCACTCAGCAACAGCAGCTCCTTCTGGCTGAGACGCCCATGCTAGTTTCTTTCCTCATAGAAACGCATCGTCTCACAACCACCATGTGGAGTTGAGTGCGACTACTGTGTGCATCCGACCTCGAGGACACACCGATGAACAGGTTGGCTAGGTCTCTTTGCCAGCATGTGGCCATGCTGGGATGGAACCCGGCTGCAGCCAGGCTCTTAGAACCCGCACTGCGCTACAGCTCCCGCTGACAGGACAATGGCACCACTCATGCTAACAGCCACCAGCACCAACCGGGGCGCTAGCGCTGTAAAACGCCAACTCTGATGGCAGAGTGCGTGCCAGGTGTTCCTCAGCTCCCACCTCACAGGAAGAGGCCAAGAACCAAGGACAGAAGGACATCCTCGGGCTGGACCCCGGCGGCGCCACCCACCTGGGACTGCAGCTGCACCATGGCGGCCTCCATCTCTGAGTTTGACTCGTTCAGGTCCCGAATCTCCTGATTGAGCTGCTTGATCTCCTCGTCATTCTCCAGCACTGCCCCAGGGAGAAAGCCGATGGTGCTCTCCCTCCAGCCCAGGCCCACCAGTGGGGGTAAGGGGAGGCCTGGGTTCTGGATGGAACTGGGGGCTTCTCCCAGCAGAGGCCCCTGCCCCAGCTCCCCGGGGGGGTGGCTTCAGCCCACGTTTCATGATGGGAAAGTTGGTCTTGGAAACTATCAGCGGTGTCTGTGGTTTGCCTGCTGGCCCTGGGCCACAGGTGGCAAAATATAAATCCCTTTGGCAGGTATTAATTGCCAGGATAAAAATGGAAGTTTCTTCAGAGGATGCTGAATTTCCTCAGCTTCCATCTTCACTGGGACTGAGTGAGTTCACAGCTCCACAAACCCTGAGAGCACTCACTAATGCCCAGGTTAGGGAGCTCGGACATGGGGCCACCAGAGGGTCAGAGCCACGGTCAGGAGACCCATCGGCTCGAGTCAAGGGGTGTGTCTCCACCATGACTCACTCCAGGACGGGAGTGTCTCCCTAACCCCTTGCCACCGGTGACGCTCACACACCCAGGCTATAAGGGTCCCACGCAGGGATAGCAAGAGGGGCGTCCTTACCGTCACTCGTCTTGAACTTTGTGCTGAGAACCTCGTCCCCTGAGAGTTTTCCCTTCTTTCCAGCAAAGGTGGCTCTGGGACAGCCAGACAAGCTGGAAGCAAAGGCCACACACCACATTCAGAGCCAAGTGCTGACCGTCTGGAAGCCTGGAAGGATCCTGGATGGAACTTTCTAGCTCATTCCCTTTGCCTTCTGACCCCGGGGCAAGTCCCTGGCTCCTCACTCCTCATCCAGCAGCCCAGGCCACTGCCCTGAAGGCTGGTCTCCCAGACATCTTGGGGCAAGCTCCTGCCTCCTCTCGGAGGGGCCGCCCTCCCCCTCCCCACAGCGCCTATCACCTCTCGCCATACTGGACGCTTTACTCGTTTGCTGGCTGGCAGTCTGCCCCCCCCCCACCCGCCCTGCCCAGGTCTGCAGAAGGGCCAGTTGTCATGCTCCTTTTCTGGTCCATTGCCAGAGCTGGTGCTCGGTGGACTCTCAGTAAATGCTTGGGGTGCGAAGGAGCTAATTAATCTTATAGGAGGAGAGACAAGGGCAAAAAAAAAAAAAGAAGAAAAAGAGAGTTTCTGATAGGACCAGGTGGTGACCCAGGCACAACCGCCATCACCGTGGCTGCCTGGCAGAAAGAGAAAGAGGGCTGGCGAGGCGAGGCCCCAGCCCCGGGCAGGTGAGGGCCTGTCGATGCTGCCCAGGCCCACTGCCCAGGCAGGAAAACGTCTTGTCACCAGGTCCCTTGCAAAACAGGCAGAGGCCCAGCCCCAAACTTCAAAGAACAGGCCCCGTGGGAGTGGCACGGCATGAGGTTTGACAGACAAAGCTTTCCACGAGAAGCTGGCAGCCTGTTACAAGAACGCATGTGCTAGGTACAGGGCACACTCTTGTCAGGGGGCTGCATCAGATGGGGTAGGGAGGCTTATGACAACAGACACATAGGGTGACACATGTCACAAACATCATCATCTGGTACCAACAGACTTCCTGTAGCCTTCCGCGGTCGGCTACCAGACAGGCGTCGCTTTTTCCTCGAGAAACGTCAGGTCACACCTGAGCCCTCGTCAGGGCCTTCCTGGGCTCCCCACTGGAGGCATGCAGAGAGCAGGGCGGGCAGGGCAGTTACCTGCGGTGAGTGAGGAAGCTGCCGTTGGCATGGCCAGAACCATCACAGCCCGGAGTGGGGCAGGTGGGCCCCTCATTCTTCAGCGACTTCCAGGAGAAAGAGGAGCCGTTGACGGAACCCTCTTTCTGCCTCCGGGCGGCCAGCGGGCAGCCAGACGCACTTCTGTGTGAGGCGTATTTGCCGCTGATGTGACCGAGCCCCACGCAGCCTGGAACTGGGCACCTGGGTGCAAAGAGGTCAGAGGTGGGCAAGGGTGCTGGGGGTAGGAGGAAAGGCCCAGAGACCCTCCCAAGCCAGGCACTGAGATCGGCTGGTGACTCCTGCATAGACTGCCACTGTTAGGGCAGGTCCTGGAGCCTCTGGGAGCTGCAGGCAGCAGGCTCCATGCTCTCTCGCCAGCCTTGGCCTCACGTCCCCTGCATGGCTGGAGGGTCAGCAGCCGCCTTCTCTCCCTGTCCCCCAGCGAACCCCAGCATGGCCTCCCAGGGCCGTGGAGCTGGCTTGCAGGGTCCACACCTAGACCTTACTTCCAGCATCACTTCTGTGTCACTCCAGCAATGTGGAATTAAGGTGTCAGCTGAGCTTGCACCAAGCATGGGGCCTGGGAGCCTAGGAGTCACAGGATGTCAGAAGTGCACACTGAACCAGGCAGCTTGGGACAGCCGGGGCCCTGTCACCCCACAGTATCCCACAGTTAGGCTGGTCATGGCATAATGCCTGCGGATGTCCCAGCTCTGCTACTTCTGAAATGTGTGGTCTGGAAGGAAGAATGTGAGGCCACAAAGCTCAGGAGGGAAAGATGTGACTTGGACACCCCACAGTGACTCCTGTATGAGGCTGGCTTGGGGCGGCATTCCCCTTTGCTCAGGCTGTTCAAGAGGATGCAGACAGACCACCATGGAAATAACAAATTCCCCGGAGACAGGTGAGGTAGCAGAGAGAGGTTCAGAGTGCCCGCCCCTCGTGCTGCCATCAGCATCTGTGCGGTCACAGGAAACGACAGTGCCGACAGCTCTGGGCATCCCCCCTCATGGCCGTGGGGAGGGACCTGGACCCAGATCTCCCAGCTGTGCCTTCTGAGCTCCCCGACATGTTAGGCCCACCTGGAACCAACACTTGACATGGGACAAGTCCTCCGTTCTTGCCCTCGAACAAATGAGACTCATTTAGCTCTTTGTCACCCACTTTCTATGTACTACACCCAGCAAACACACAGGACCCCAAGAGGGGACACGTTGTCCAGCGTAGAGAGAGGCTCCTGGGTACAGAAGTGAGAAGCAGGCAGCCTTGGAGGGCAGGGTGTCCCGGGGCTCCCGCTATGGCAGCGGGGATGAGGACAGTCTGTGCTGCCCAGTAGCAAGGCTACGCCAGGCCCTGTCCTCATGTGAGAAGTGGCCGCTGGGGACACTTTCCTGGTCTCCTCGCTGGGACCCATGCTTACGTGTCCCCCTCTGCCGGCTCTCATCTCCTTCTTATTCATCCCACCTATGTGGACGTCAGATGTGTGGGACGTCCACTGAGCTAGTCCAAGGTCATCTCAACCCAGAGTCCAGTGTGGAAACACTGCCCGGGGCCCCCGCAAGCTGAGGAGGTTGCATTGTACACCTGCCCGCAAATCCCACACCTACTGGCTGTGGGGTCCCAAGGGACGTCAGAGCCGGGTGCTCCAAGTGCTCATAAGGCTCCATCACAAGATCAAAAGGCCAAATGAGAGGCAGAGCGCCTGAGACTAAGCTCTGATTTCCCACTTTCTCTGCAAAAGCCTAAGCAAGCCCATCAGGAGGGGCTGCTGAGTTTCCCGGTGACACGCGGGCGAAGTCCAGGCACGTCAACAATAACACTGCTGTTCCTTCCACCACACCCAGTGTCCAGAGCTTCAGGACTGTCGGGTAACCTCACATTAGTATGTGTATGGGGTGCCAAGCTGGGTGACTTCTGTACTTCCGGGGCAAGCCTGTGCTGGGGTGCAAGAGCGACGTGCCCCTGGGACCCCAGGGTCAGAGGAGCCATCTCTTCTCAGATGCAGCGTGGCCGAGGACAGTGGGACCTCCCCAAAGGCGATCAATGGGCCTTCAGCTTCCGAACTCCAGCCTGGAAACTCCACAGACTTTGATGTCCAGTTAGTCAATTGTGGCTGAAAGGATTTAGCACAAAGCGCTGCCGTGACTTAATCTCCAACAGCGCGGACACGAGATGTCAGAAACGGGATCTCCTCTTCCAATAACCCATCCAGAGTCATGGCTGTACGCGCTAACAAAAGCCCGTCACGCGTGCAGCAGGACCTCAGCACCTATGAGTTTTTGCTGCAGTCGGTTGGCACTTGTGCAAGGACACTGGTCATTGACAGATACGCTTATGGCTGGTGGCTGGAGCAGAGCCTGCGAACCAGAGGCTGAGTGGTGGCCCCCATGGAGCCACTTCGGCTGCGTCTGTCCTGCAAATGATGAGCTGTTTCTGAAAGTCACATATCCACCTGGCTGCAAAAATCTTGTTTTATTAGAAGCAAAGTTGACAGCACATTAGAAGGAGGAAAACCGTTTTTACCTTGAAAAATGCTGACCTTGACTTTAATCATTTGCAAAGGCAGCACAATTCACTCATGATGTCCCTACCAGCAGGACTCTTGCTAAATCCATCACAGCCTCACATTTCCATGTTCACTTTCTGTGCTTATGGGCAATCTCCTGGACTCTCCGAAAGAAAATACTCTCACCCCAACCCCCAGAGACTAGTAGGCAGCACTCACCAGACGGGCAACAATGTATCTGCATTTTTGATTCAGCACTCCTTACAGTGTTACTGTACAATGTAAACCAACAAACAATCCGCCGCCTGCTACACCAAACAGCTCATGGGAAGGGTGTGATGCTGGTCAGGGAGGCGCCTACTCTGGATCAGGCAGATGTATCAGCACAGCTGGTGTGAGCTCCTAGGAGCAACCAAATCCTCAGCAGAGGTGTCTGGCTGTTGCTGGCCCACAGGTAGCACAGGTCAGGCCCACTGATCAGGGCACACCTGCTCCCCCTCAACCTGACACACCTGCCCCCACCACGCCAGCCGTAGGCACCAGGCCACAAGGGAGCCAGAGCCGTCCCTCCAGTCCTCACCTGCCAGTTTTGCCCCATGTCAGCTCCGAAGCTCTGGGAAACCTGGATGGGGGGGTCACACTGCCTGCACCTGTGGCCTTGCCCCCACCTACAAGGGGAGAGGCTCAAGGGGGCAGGTTCCCTCTGGAGGGATAAGCTTGCAAAGAAGTACAGCAGCCCCCACGGAGTGGAGCTCATGGTCAGAGTGCACCCACAAGCCCCTAGTGACATGTCAGGCGCCCCTAGTGAGAAAGCCAGTATAGGTTTCCAGGACTTCAATTACTGAAGGCCCAGGATATCCTCTGTCCTCCCCACAGCTGGGTCGAGGTCCCAGGTCAGGGTGAACCTCTCGGGCTCTCTCGTGCCACACCAGCTCCCCGCGAAGGCGTGTAAGCGTGCCGATATGTGATTCACAGACCGGATATCTCCCTCACCACACTCTCCTCCTCGACTCCTGCACCTGACCTTCCCCTCCAGACCGAAGTCATGCAGACAACAGTGTCCATGAGAGCCCTGTGGGGCTGCCCCATGCCCTGAGGTCTTCCCAGGTGGCCCCCAGGTGTGTGGGCTTCAGGGTGCTTTGCCTTCCCAGCCCAACTGAGAGGCCCAGACAGGGTCCAGAGCCTGTGCATGCCCTTGACACGCACGTGGCCCATGCCTTCGAGACGTCCATGTGCCTGGTAGGGGAGCTCCTGTAAAAACTGCCATCAGTCAGCTGTATTAATGGAAAGGGGGTATAGAAGGAGCTTGTCTAAATTGTAAAACACAGGAAACGCCCAATTCTGCAAAGCGACCAAGCGCCAGCAGGACCCGCCTTACTTCATGAGCTCTGGGTCTTCCTTGTCATCTTTCGTGGGTGTCACCTTGGCTCCACTTTTCTTGGCACGTGGGCAGCCTGACAAGCTAGATGTAGAAGAGGAAAAAACAACTGTAGCCCAGATCACAGCTCCTCATGCCACCTGTCTCCCCTTCTCTCAAGCCTGGGTCACCAGCCCCGAGCGCCCCAGGGAGCCTTCCACCAGCACACACTCTGCTGGGCAGTGGGACCACGGACAGGACATGTCCCCATGAGCCCTAGGTGTGCCTGCAGAGCTCTGGGACCACCGACAACCAGATTGAAGGACTGCTCGAGCTCAAGCCAGCAACTTTGATGTTTTATCTGGAGCTCACAGCTCCACCTGAGGAAGCACCCAAGCACCCCGGGCGCAGCAGGCTCACCTCCGGTGCGAAGCGTAGTTCCCTGTTATGTGGCCAGAGCCGTCGCAGCCAGGCGTGGGGCACCTGTGGAGGAGAGTGGAGCTGGGACCAGCCCTGAGGACGTGCGGCCACAGAAAGAGTCCCAGCCCACTGCGGTCTCACAAACAGCAGTGCTGGTCTGTCCCTTCTTCTACCGTGACCTCCAGCTGCAGAACTTTGCCAGCCAGGCCCCAGGGAGACCAGGAAAGCCACGCAGAGAGCACAGCCCCATTGCAGGGTTCTAGGTGGGACTGGAAGGTTCCAGAACACACATGGGCCTTAACCTTAAACACTGCTCTGGAAGGCCCACCTAACACCTGGGACCAGGTTCCCTTCTGTGCTGTCTCTGGGAGAGAGAGGGCGTGTCCTGGGAAGGGTGATCACTGTTGTGAGGACGCAAACACATTTACTGAGCACCCATGATGGCCGCCTTGGCGTGATGTTTGCTCGATAAGCATGGAGCTCACATGGCCGGAGACTTCCGAGGGGCGGCAGGAGGTAGAGGAGCCACAGGACACAAAAGTCCAACTTCACACACCCACAGTGTTTGACAAACGTGTCACGTAGAAAGTAAAAACTCCAATATACAGGTGTGGGTTTCCTTAAATTGTTTCCTGAACATCCAGAGGAAACACGGTACGTTCCTGCTGGTGTCAGAGTGGGAGGTGTGCCCGGTTCTGCGAGAGAGCCCACAGGAAGCCTCTCCTCCTGCCGCTTCATGCCTCGCCCTCATGAGGGGCCACGCAGGGACGTGCTGCTCGCATGCGCAGAGCTCGCCCATCAGAGTGCTTATCTGCTGTTTCTGGTTCATCCTCACAGAGAGAGAACCATGCAAACCAAGGTCGTTCTGCCCCAAAGAGGCCCCAAGAGGGTAGAGAGGACGCACGCCCGCTGGAACAGGACACCGGACTCTGCCTCCCAGGCAGCAGAGGTGCTCAGGTCCCTGCGCTGTGCCCTCCTCCATGTGTGGTGTCTGGGGCAGGACAGCCGCAATGTCTGGGCCACCTCCCAGACCCCCACAGTCTGGCACTGCCTGGTGTCCACCCAAGAACCCTCACATCTACATGGCGATGTGGGGGGCTCAATGACCAGGGGTGTCCCCTGCCCCCAGCTCTTTCTCTGGCCCCAGGGGCTCTCTTGCAGTCCCTTCCTCATCCCTGCCCATAGGCCACACATCGAGTGCCTCCCTGGCCTGTCAGCCAACCAACTGGTCAAATCGCCCTCTGGCCGGGTTTTGGGGTACCACCAGCCCCACTGAGGTTACAATGGTTCCTGGCACACTCACGTGTGGTCACATTGCAACCCACACAAGTCTCGGTCAGGGAGGTTTTTGCATTTTAGTAGATACCACCCATCACCTCCACCTAGGTGGGCGTCACCCAATTTCTGCAACACCCGTCCTGATGCTGTGTGTCTGCATTGTCCCAGCTCCCAGGGTCCTCCGGGCACAGGAGCTGAGGGTGCCAGCTGTGCCCACCCTGCTCCCCTAGGTGAGTGAGGGCGGGGCTTCTCCTTCCTGGTTGGGTAGCTGCTCAGCGGCCACTGGGGCTCTGCTTCTTCTCAGCTTCAGGGCAGCGTGACAGAACTCAGAGGCTCAGCTGTGTGGGTGGTGGCCAGGCGGCAGGGCCCCAGCAGCCCTGGGCCTGCGTGGCCGTTGGTGCAGCTCTGGACCGCGGGTAAAGGCCCTGCGAGGTGCAGCCCCCGACGGGGCCCGATGTGGGTGAGGAAGGCGGCCACACACATGAGGGTCCCTGCCAGGCCCCAGCACAGGTGGGACCAGCACTCCCAGGGGTTCCACTGAGGCATGCCTTCTCCAGGCAGGTGGTGCCATCACACACTCCTGCTGAGAGACCCAACACAACGGTTTCTCCCCACTTGTGTTCAAGAGAGGACGGAGTCCATGTGGCTGGGGAAGAGGGTGTTCGTGTGAGGTGCCAGCAGCATCAGCTGCTCTCGTGACCCTGAGTACCTGCAGGGTCAACTGCAGGAACCTTCCCACGCTGGCTTCTGAGTGCATTGTCGGGGCAGAAGGAACCCCGACTCTAAGGGGCACACTGCAGCTTGGCGGCGCACACCAGGTCCTGCCTCTGAGCGCCATCCCTGTCAATGCCCTGTGCAGAGCCCCCATCACACCCTTGAAGGGTGTGTGGCTGCACACAGAGTGGGCTGAGTGGCCGTGTCCCAGCCCCTGACCACACTGGCACATGAAAGGGAGGAGCAAGCGCCCTTGAGATTTAATTAAAACACAGAAAACACATCATACGAGACTCACTGCTCCCAGGTATGGTAGGGAATACACCAGCACAGCTCGTTTGCAGGGCAGAGCATATGTGTCTGCCCCCTGGGGACAGGCCACCTTCACCCATTGCTGCCACAGGCTGGTCGGGAGCAGCCCGTGCCACGTGACCACTGGACAGGAGGAGGGCGAGGGAGAGGGAAGCGTGGGGACACCCGGCAGTGATGGGGCCCAGCCCATGCCCACGCTGAGGCCTGAGGAGGCAAGTAGACGGCTCCCCTGGGAGACCCCCAAGGGAGAGAAGCGCTTTGGAAGGAGTTGGGGACACCGTGACCACCTTGCTGAGGCTGGTGAGTGACTTGTTTTCACATAAGGAAGACTTTCTGTTGCCATTTCTAAATGTGTTTTGGGTTAAGTCCCTCACAGGCTTTTAGTCTGCTAACCCTCCCTGACAACCACGTTCCTGGACGCCGAACAAGCCCACGTTTTCCATCCAGCTGCCCTCAGCATTGCTCTGCAGGAAGGAAGGACCCTTTGTGAGTACATGTGGTCACATCTAGGGCTCAGAAGTTACCCAGGCCTCAAGCTGGAAGTCCACAGGCAGTCACAGGCAGAAAGGCAAGTAGAATTGGAAAGCCAAACAGGAGAAAGGAGCATGAGAATGAAGGGAAGAGACGAGAGGAAGGAAAGAGGGAGAGGAGGTTACGGAAAAAGGTCCCAACAGGACTGAGTGTTCCTGCTGGATTTCTGGGGCTGGACGCCATGAATGAACGAGTGACATGGACTGTGCCATGACAAGTGGAGCCTCAAGAAACACTTCTGGAAAAGCTGTGACTCCTGGAAGGGCCATTCTGGTGATGAACCCCAGCCTTCTCTGCAGGAACGGAAGGCTCATAGCTAACGAGGGGCAGACACGCTTCTCCTGGCTGCTGGGACCAGACATACCCCCAGAGCACCCTGCCCTGTTTCTAAGTCAGCTCAGCTCCCTGGAAGCCTTCAGCAACAATAGCCCCTCATCTTAGAGGCATCAGGGTCCCAGGTCCTGTCTGGCCCCAGAATGAACTGAGCATGTCCTGGATTCAGGGCCTCCCAACACAGAGGCCTGAGGGAGGGAGGGATACCCCTGCAGAGGGGCGACCTGAAGGGCAACAGTGGGACCACCTTCCTAGCCTGGGAGCCCACGGTCAGCGCTGTAAGTCACAGCTCAACAGAAGGCATGAGAACCAAAGGCAATGACAGTCACCAACTCCAGCCCCAAGAGGACACAGATACCTTGGAAACCTCTGGGTGCTTGCATGTCATTCGAGCAGGTCTGCCAAGCAGGCAAGCTTGTGCCCACAGCACCTGCCCTGCCATGCGCCAGGGGCGGGAAGGAGCAGAAGCAGAAAGAGGAACGCTCAGCAAAGCGAAGGGCTGAGCTTGGCGGAGAGGCACATGGGCAGGCGCCAGGGCCAAGGTGGAGCAGCTGGAAGGGGTGCAGCAGAAGGGAAGGGCACAGGGCTCTGGCTTTCGTCATCAGCATCCAGCTCGTTCAATAAGAGCTTCAGCAAGACTTACAAGGCAGGGCCAATGCCGGGCCTCTCCCAAACCTCAAGTGTGGTGAGGAGAGCAGGCCCAGGCAGCCCAAGGGGCTCTCTGGAAACAGAGGGTGGGCTGCGTCATCAGCAGCCGGAGGCGGGTCCTGCTCCCCTCTCCCCCGGCCCGTGGCCCTCAGAAAGGCTGGCAGGGCAGAGGGCAGCACGAGAGCCTACAGCAGCCCCCAGCTGGAGGGGACAGGTGACAGCAGCACTCAGAGCAGGGAGCCTACAGCAGCCCCCAGCTGGAGGGGACAGGTGACAGCAGCACTCAGAGCAGGGAGACACAAGCAGAGTCGGCCCCTCCATGGCCCCGCTGGGCGGGGCTGGCCTAGGGCTAGAGCCCAGAGACAGCTGATTCTGGCTGGCGCCTCATGGAGGGAGAGAGCAGAGCAAGGGAGCCACCCAAGAGATGGGAGGCCAGGAGGGCAGACATACTTGAGGTCAGCAGAATGGGCAGCCATGAGGTTTCTGAGGCTCTTGTCAGCAAGAGGGCAACCAGAGAGGCTGAAAGAGAAGAGATGGGACACCGGGGTAAGCCAAAAAGGAGAGCAGGGGAGAAGAGGAGGAAGACCCACCACGCAGCACCCCGGCCAGGCTGGACCCAAGCGGGGGACGAACCTGCGGTGGGAGGCATAGTTCCCGGTGATGTGGCCACTGCCGTCACAGCCGGGGGTGGGACAGCTGGACAAAGGAAAAAGAGCGTCAGAACAGAGAGCAAAGCACCCTGCCAGGCCTGTCCCCGGCCGAGCCTACGCAGGGAGGATGCTGGCACCTGCTCCTGGCTCACCCACGAGCCAGAGGCTCCTCCTCTGAGTATAGCCATTGCCTCTCGGACTGCAGGTTTCTCCCGTACAACTTAACTCAAGAAGGAAAAAGGAACCAAATTAAAGCTCAACCTCAAGTTAGGATGCCTCTGTGTACACGTGTTGCATGTGCGCACGTGCGTGTGCCCTTGAACATAAAAATGCCTCTATGCACACATGTGTGCACGTGTGTGCCCATTGACATGCAGGATGTCTGTGCATGTATGTTGTGTGTGTGCACATGTGTGTGCTTGTGGACACGTAAGGTGCCCCTGTGCACACGTGTGTGTCCTTATGGGCATGGAAGGTGCCACTGTGCACATGTGTTGTGTGTGTCCGTTGACATGTATGATGTATGTGCATACATGTTGTGTGTGCGAGTGTGTGCATGCCCTTGAGTGTATAGGGTGCTCTGGAGGCACATGTGTTGTGTGTGCATGTATGCATGCCCCTGTTTACACCTGTTGTGTGTACACATGTATATGCTTATGGATATGTAGGATGCCTCTGTACACATGTGTTGTACAGAGTAGGAGGAAGCTAGTGGGGTTCAGGACCAGGAGAAAAGGAACCTCAGGAACAAATGTTCATCACAGGTGAGGGCTGGATCGCCTGTGCTGCAGGTGCCAGGTACAGCCTCTCCCAGAGGCGGTTGTCAATGGGGGTTGATCAGAAGGCTTTGGGGTGGCTCGCATCTACCAGCAGCTCCCTGCTCTCCAATGACGTCTGCTTAAACCGTATAAGGACTGGCTCAAAGGGGCTGCCAGGCTGCCAGAGCCAAGGGCCTGAGTCCTGAGGCAGAGTGCACACCTGGCCTGGGCGCTGAAAGCTGGGGAGACAGCTGTGGCTCGTAGAGAGAGGGTCAGTGCCCCGCAGCCCTCTTCCTGCTCTGTGGGCACGTCCTCGTTCTCAATTGCTTTAGAGGGTTAACGCCCAGCACCGAAGACGGGGGCCTGAGCCCCATTGCCTGGCTCAGGAGTGTTCTCATAAAGGACACCCAACCTCTGCCCACTGCAGCGGTCAGGCCAGGACGATGGTCAGAGCTGGCCAGGGCAGGAGCAGGCCCCACTCCTTGACATGCTGTGGCGCTTCTCCGAGCAGGCCTGTCGGCCCAGGTGGGGACTCACGTGAGCAGCTCCTTCTTTATGTCCTTGGAGAGAAACTTCAGCTTAAAGTTGGTGAGGGTAACTTCCCCAGGGTACTTCCGCTCCTCAAAATTCTCCTCCAACACTTCCTGGTCATCTGCTTCAGAAGAAGCAAAAGAATGGGCTGCTGGCTCTGACTGCAAAAAACCAGCAGGGAGATGTTTTAACCGCTGGTGGGCCAGGCGCCCGACCCGGGGCTGAGGGCGAGGGACCCTTCAGGACAGCGTCCACAGAGACGTTTCTGCAGTCTCCTGTCTTCTGAACGAGGGAGGGGGACTTAGCACCCCAGACACAGAAAAAGCACTCCGAGGGACTGGAGTGCCCCCACCTTGGCCAGAACTGCCCCAAGAACACGGGGGCTTTGGGCACTCGGTCACCTCTGCCCAACGGCCGCTGGGCCACCTTCTAAACACAAGCGTGCCACACAGGGCGGCTCCCTCACAGGAATGGTGCTCAGCGGCAGCAGGCACTAAGAGGCGTTTGTCGAAAGGCTATGATGATGAAATGGCACAAGACAGGAAGGATGTTCAAAGGGTAGTGCAACTACTCCCAGTGACCTGGGACCACCTGGCCCCACGTCCCCGCCTAGCATGATGTCTTGGCCACAGCAGGTGCTTAATAAGCAGTTTGAACCGGAATGCTGGGTCTGGAGGGGTTCAATCACCACCTGAGGGCAGGGTGCTGTGGACTCGGCAATAAACAAGGACAGTCCCTGCTACTGAGGAGGAGGGGGGCGGTTCTGCAAGAGTCAGGAAGGTCGACGCCCTGGGCTGGTCCCTAACAAGCAGTTTGGGAGGGTCACCGTTCAGACCCCAGGCAGGTTGTTCAACCTCTTGGGGCCTGGGTGCCACTTTGAAACTGGAGACAATGGCAGTCGCTCAGGAAATGTGGGGCTCAAAGGAGGAAAGGGCCTGGAGCCCACAGCTCAGTGTGAGGACAGCTCTACCTCCAGTCACTGGTATGAACTCATTCTCCTGATGAGATGGAAGACATTGCTTCACTTCAGCTGAGTCTCCAGGATGTGTGGGGGCTCCCAGAAGCTCAGAGCAGGGACAGCATCCCCGAGGCCCAGGACATGGGACAGGGAGGCCAGGCTAGGAGGTGAGGCTGAAGGGTGGAGGCAACAGCCTCACCCAGGAGGGGTCACGAGCCTCAAGCAGAGCTGGAAGGAGGGTCTGAATCGGGAGTCCAGGGCTTTGGTGCAGGGACCGAGAGGGCCCGGTTCAGGAGGTGCTTCTGAGGGTGACCCAATAGGATGTGGGGTAGCCGTGCCTCGGAGAGGGGGCCTGGAGGACAGGAAAGGTCTGGGAGCGAACTGGGACTGCCCGGGGACTGGACTGGTGGCCACGGGGTGGAGTGTGAGGGCCGGCTGCAGTGGGCGGGAACCTCTGAGATCTAGGTCATCCCACAGATGATGCTGACAGTCTGGGAGGGGATGAGGGTGCTGAGAGGACATGTAAAGGGAGAAGGGGAGGAGCAAAGCAGCTCAGGGAGACCAGCCGGAGCTGGGGGGTGAGGAAAGGGGCAGTGAAGGAGCCGGGGGGACCGCTGAGGGCGAGGGGTGAAACGAGGCCGAGAGTGGACGTGGAGACATGGCACCGATGGCCCCGCCTGCGGCAGACAGGGCTCCCGCCAACCATAGGAAACTGCCTGCACGGCACAGCCCCAGGCGGGCGCTCAGGCCAGCCTCCTGCACTCGGGGGGCACCTCTGCTCCGGGGCCTAACACCAAGCCACAGCCCGGTGACCCAGATACGTGACCCCCAGGCTGTCTGGGGAGGAGGTGAGCCCAGCCAGCCCTCAGCCCTGTGGCCCAGCAGCCCACACCCACCTCCTCAGGTTCCTCCTCTCGCTGGCGGCTGGGCTTCGTGTAGTCCAGGGGCCGGTCCCACTCGTCCTGGCGGGGGGCCTGGCTGGACCGGGACGAGGTCATAGAGCTGCTGGGGGTGCTGGCGCCGCCCTGGCACTGGGAGGCGTCGGGGGACCTGACGCCTGGGCTGCCGCCACCGCCGCCACGGAGGGTGTTCTCCCGCCTGCGGTGTGTGCGCATGCTCAGGTCCAGGGTGCCGTTCTCGTCCACCTCGATGTCTGCAGCCTGCGGTGTGGGGGCCTGTGCTCGTGACCGCAGTCTCCCATGGGCGCCCTGGCCTGAGGGAAGCTGGTCGAGGGTCCAGAACACCGTCCCTTGGACGGGGCAGAGCCAACAAGACAGACTGCCTCCAAGGAGGAGTCCTGAGCCTCTCCTGCAAGTCTCCCCAAAACCATGAACCAGCCCCTCGAGGCCGGGACCGTGGTGGGACAAGCACATGTGCACGACCCTTGGACTCGGGGAGACACGGGGAACGTACGTGTGTATAGCCATGTGCCCCCCTAGGGCACAGCACACGAGCTCTCTGGGTGTCAGCCATGGGTAGGGGGAGGAAAGGTGAGAGTGAAGATCACCAGGTAGACACTGGGAGTTTCCAGCCCATCAGATTTGGGGCTGTGAGCCACCCATCCCTGCCTCAGAGGCTCCCTGGGGGAACACCGACCTTGTTGGGCACATCCTGCGGCTTCGTGCTGAGGTTCTCCGGCATTTCCCAGCAGCGCGTGGAGAGGTTCAGGATGGCGGTGGCGGCCATGTGGGCAGCCTCGGCGTCGTGTGTGTAGTCGAAGCCTGCGGGAGAGGATGCAGTGCGGGAGCTGTGCCTGGGGGGAGAGGCCTTTGGGAAAGGTTTGGCTGCAAAAAGGGAACAACACCAGGCTGCTATGAGCTGGACCAGGACGCGGCCACGCAGACGCACATGGCACAGCTGCATGGAGGGTGGGCTTGGGGCTCACTCAGCACACTCCCACTCACCCCTGTTTGGTGCTGGGGAGGCTATTTCTGGCCCAGCCAAAATTTGTGAAGAGCGAAGCCCTTTTTAAAGACATTTCAGCATCCCTGAGATTTCAAACCAAAACAAGCGTCTGCTGGTGGACAGTTACTGAAGGACTAAAGAGCTCTGAAAGCAGCGTGGGTGTCGGACAATTATGTCACGCTCTCCAAAGACTGCTTTTGCTGCCCCCATAATAGTCCATCTTTAATAAAGTAGCTTCATTGTTCAAATAACAGTGAAAAGTGAAGGCATAAAGTATTATCTGCTGTCGTAATTGTGCAGCAGCCGTAAAATCACTCAGGTTGCTATTGCTGCGTAGTCACAGCATCACCAGCAAATGTGCAGACCTAAGAAGGCTCCACAGCAGTGGGTGCCTGGGCGCGAGGCCCTGAGGCCCTGGCCCTAGCAAGAGGGAGAGGTGGGCGCACTCCAGATGGCAACTGTGTCATCGGTGTGTTTATTATTAACGCAGGCACTCGTCAGCGGCTGCATTTGTGGGCTGATATCCACCAGGAGACGCCAGGTTCCATCTCATGTGCACTGAGAGTCCTTTTCCATTTCAAATGCATTTCCAGGGCTAATGGGCTTGCAACCCACAAATTAGTACAGTAAGTGACAAAATGCACAGGAAGGATTATTCTCCAAGGTTCACTTTTGTTAGTACAAGTACTCAGAAAATGTGTTGCTAATGTCAGATAACATCTGCCTCCAGCACGATGGTCCCCGGGCAGGGAGGCAAACAGCCCCTGTCAGGGTAACCAGGCTCAGCATAGCAGTTGTGTGACTCGCCCCAGACACCACACACACCACCACCACCACCACCACCACCGCCCTCCCCCTGCCTGCCGTGTCGCGATAAACGGGCTGGGAGAGGGCGGCCCGGAGAGGGAGTTCTTGCAGGGTGGACCACGTCAGCCAAGTTATTCTTAAGCCTTTGGACACGAACACCACAAAGGACCCATTTTGTGTCGCAAACAGTGGCAGGTTACATCAAATCTGATGGTGAACATGGAGGCGGCAACACGGGCAAGACACAGACTCCAACAAAGCCACCGCAATGGATGCTGTGACAGCTAGGACCCTGGGGTTGGAGGGTCGAGACCCCCACATGCTCCTGACCAGGGGACCCTCCTGCACTGCTCCTCACGCCGCACCTCCCAGGAGTGACTGTCCCCAACTTACATTTAAAGGCTTTAGGTGAGGTTTCGCTGGTCTGAATCTTTGGGGCAAGCATGCGTTTGCCAAAAACCTGAGCATCAAAACTTGCGTAGTCGAAGGTGACCTTGGAGAACTTCTCCAGCTCCCTGGCCACGTTGGCCCTGGGCGTGGTGGGGGCCACACTGGGCCGGTAGCTTCCGTATGGAGGGACCTCGAGCTGCTTCACAAAGCACATAGGTCTGGGGTGCAGGAGAGAGATGCAAAACCATGAGGACAGGACCCAGAGACCCCATGCTGCTCATCTCCATTGCCCCGTCCCCAAGGGCACAGGGACCCCTGAGGGCCCAGTGTGGACAGACCTGGGAGACCCGCCCCCCATGTCCCAGCGCTGAGGGTGGCGGGGCCTGATCTGTGTCAGGAGGAACGGCATGTCCCCTTGAAGACAGCATTGGCCAAGGGAGAGAGGGCCAGAGTCTTTCCCCCAGAACTCAGGAGAGCAGGTTTCCAACAGCTCAGCCACACTTAGCAAGAGCCCTTAGCCAGCGACTCCAAGGCAGAGCTCCCCAGTGAGGGGGCTTGGGTGCGTGGAGGGGACGTGGACCCGGGATGTGGACCACTGCGGATGGCCAGACATGGACACTTCCAGTTTCTTGGAGAAACAGGGAGCAGGGTGTCCACTGAATGTGGGCAGCAGTAGGGAAAGGAGAGGGCGAGTGTGTCTCCAGCCAGGTAGGCACTGCACGCCCCAGGAACTCCACTGGGTAGAGAATTGTGGTCAAGGACAAGACTCTGAAGCCAGGCTGGCTGGTGTGGATGCTGTTTCCCCGGCCCCATAAGGGTGGTCTTGGGCACGCTCCTGAGCCTCTGGCCTGACTTGTGGCACCCACTTCCCAGGGTCACATGGAGGGAGGGGATGCTAAGTAGGTGTGTTCTGAATGCTCTTTGAAAAGGCCCCTTATTGATGAGACACATCTACACTCACACACACACATATGTGCACACACATGTGCACATGCACTCACACACAGGCACATGCAGCTAAGCACACACACGCCTGCTGCTGTCTCAGAACCTCGGAGGCCACAGGAGGCAGCTCGCTGGACAGCTCCGCCTGCACCCGCTCCTGTCCCTTGACTCAGGGTCTGTCCTGGAGTGAGGGAGGCTGAGGCTGGACAGCAGGGACGAGCGGCTCCGTGCTTCCTGGACGGCATGGCCCTCAGCTGGGCAGTCAACTCCCTCCAGACAGGACCAACGTCTCCACAGACATCTCCGACAATCTCGAGCGCTGAGATCAGGGAGAGCACGGCAGGCGACCGAACGGGCGGTGCCCCTTCAGTCACTGGCAGAGGCAGCAGACGTGACTGTCCTGTGTGCCTGGGATGGCTCACAGCACCTGAGGCCTCAGCACACGCGCGCACACACATGTGCAGCCTAGCGAGACGGAGCAGCCCTCTGTGCTGCAGCCCTGCCACTCACCTGAGTATCCGGTCTGAACTGGAGCCGTTCTTAGAAAGTTCTCCCGTCTGCGGCTGTTGCTTCTCGTGAGATTTGGCTAATTTTTCAGCAGCAGCAATGGGACACCCAGACAGACTAGAGAAAGGACAAGGACAGCTGAACCCTCTCTTCCAGCCCTACCAGTCGGAGCCGGGAACTGGCACCAGCAGGAGCCCAGGAAGGCCGTCACTTCTGGGTTTTCTCTGCTCTGTGTGGAGCCTTCACAGTACCAGCTGCTCAGGTGGCTTCTGTTTGGGGAAATTCTAAGCCAATGACACACAGACGAGATACACTGTAATGGCCCTCAGAGCTCTAAGCAATGGCGCCTTGTCTGGGTGGGTCCGAGCAAGTCTGGATGGGTCTGTGCGAGTCTGGGTGAGTCTGAGCAACCAGCCTGCCTCTCACCTCCCTGTCCCCTTGCCACCAACCACAGCTGTATTTTGGACCCGTCCAGCTCTTGTTCTGGCAGCCGACTCAGGGAAGCCCAGGGCCCCACAGGCCATGACCAAGGTGCTGACGCCAGAGAACATGGACTGCCAGGGTCACACCAGGAGGGTGAGGCCCTTCCCCAGAAAGCTTCATCTAGCAGAACAGAGTCAACTGCCATTCTGGACAGGTGGCAGAATCATAACAGTGCTCAGAAACTAGCCTCTCTCCTTGAAGGCGTGACCTCGAAAGCTCTGGCCATCCCTTCAGCTGACCGTGTGCCCTCTGGAGCAGGGGCACATCCCATCACAGTCACCCATGCGCTCAGGTGAGGTGGCAAACATGCTCACCTGTCACCGTGGAAGGCAACAGGCAAGTAAAGTCCAATGCAGCTGGAAACCTCGCTTCTAGCAGGTCCCAGAGCTCCCATAGAGCAGCCCAGAGCCGACTGGCCTGCAGAGGCTTCCCCAGGGATGGCAGCACGGGAAGCCTGTGTGCCCATGGGTCTCTGGTAACCCCACTTACGGAGCACAAGTGGCAACACCATCAGGGGACCGCACGCCCAGGAGCTCTGATCTCACACCAGCTCTGAGGGGCAGCACATAGGGACACAGCAGGCCCACGCCCCGGCCCCAGCCTGCACCACGCCCGGGTGCCCAAGTACCTTCTGTGTGTGTTGCGGTTGCTGTTCACGTGACCTTGGCCCGTGCAGCCAGGGGTGGGGCACTTGAGGACATTCTCGTGCATGGCCAAGACTGCAAGAGGACAGGGGACAGTGAGCAGGGCCAGGCAGTGTGGACGAGCCCCGTCTAAAGGCTACAGCTTTGTCAGACGGGGACAGGGTGGCTCCAACCCCCAGCCTCTGTCCAGTCAAGGCACCCCCTCCCACCATGGCCCCCTGCCTCCCTGGGGCAGAAACCAACTCAGCTTTATAACTCTGGCTGTTCTGTGACTCCCTCGTATCACCTAATGTTCACCGTCACTGCCTCCAGCCAAGAAGTCAGGGCAGGCTTCTGTGGAGTCCTCCCCAGCTGGCTGACTGGGGGCCCTCCTGTATGCCTGTATCTGTGGCAGGGACCCCGACCCAAGCTGCCATCTCAACATGAATGACCGGGCACGCTCTGTGTCCCCAGCCTTGTAGGGCTTGAGTTTGAGCGTGTGGACAGTGCCAGTCCAAAGGCACAGGGCCCTGAGTGGCCACTCCTCCATGAGCACACCATCTAAACACCTGACATGGCCCGAGCTACGCAGACCTACTCACTCTCTGGAGGGATCCTGTCCTTGTGGGGGCAGCCGGACAGGCTGCGGTGGTGAGGGTACAGCCCAGTCACGTGGCCAGTGCCGTCACAGCCCGGTGTCGGACACTTGATCTCCCGTTTCTCAGCTCTCGAGGAATCTAAAAGCATAGGTCAGTGGGTGGTGAGGAAGCCGTGTGGCACGTGACAAGCGGGGGAGGACAGAGCAGGCCCTGGTCCTTCACTCTGCCATCCAGAGAGGAGCATGGCCAGACAGCCCAAGAACCCAAGCAGGACCAGGGGCTGGACAGTGAGGTGACCCTGGAGAAACTGGTCCACACCACTTGTCTGCGAGAGACTGCCCAAAGTGCCCCAAACAACAGCACGTACAGTGTTTTAAAGACCACCCACAGGGCGCTGGCACCCTGCCTGCCCTCCCACTGGCTTCCATAGGGGGTGCGCCGCCAACAGCCCCACGCCTCGAGGTCTGGCCTCTGCACAGAGAGGTGAAGGTACGTGACAAGTCCCTGCCAGGACATGTCTTTGGGATTTGACAAAATGATAACAAAGAGCTTAAGTAACCTGCCAAAGTCACGTGACTAATAAATGCCTGGACAGAAATTTAACCTCGAATCCCAGTTACTGGCCTCATCTGGCCCAGAGAGGTCACCAGTGAGTGTGGGGACAGAGGGAACACTTGTCAGGATGCTGATCTCAGAGCACAGTTGATGTCCCCATAAAAAGCCCTGGATGGAGCTGCCCCCCTGGGAGAAGCTGGAAGTCACAGAGCCATATTCCTGGGGAGGGCCTATCCATAGGGGCTCACAAGCCCATCCCCAAGGCCTGCATCCTGGCTTGACACCTGCCCTCTGTCCAGGGAGGCCACCGTATCTGCACCTCAGTGTCAGGCCCATGTGATCCCAGCTCTGCCCCCTGCATCACCCCGATGCTCGCCCCCTGGGTCCATACCCTCGACTTTATCCCTGAAGGCAGGATACCCTACATCTGGGTCCCCTAATGTTTGTCCCACAGGTAGGAGTCCCGAACACATGGCCTGGGGCTGTCACTCTGTCTGTGTCCCCGTGCCCTCATCATGCCTCTCTCCAACAGTGCCCCCACTGATCGGTGGGCTCCAAGCCCACCCCCAGACTGACACCCTACACAGGCTCCTACACCATCCCTGAGTCTGTCACCCTCACCTGGGTCTCTTTGTGTTCATGTCCCCTCAAGGCCTGTGCCTGAGGCTGTGTTGGTCTGATTATGATTCCCAAACAGCGTCCCTCCAGTCTGTGCCACCCTGAAGGGTATCCCCTCAATAGCTATATTCCAGGTTAAAATAGCCCCACCTGTGCTCCCTCAGCTGTGTCCCGAAATATCTGTACCCAAGCTGGTCTCATGTGAGTAAATGTTCCAGAAAATGTGGCCATGTGTCCCCATCAGCTAGGGTCTCCTGAGCAATAGCTCACTCAAGTCCCTCCGTGACCCCGGTGTGTCCCCCAGGCTGTGGCTGAGTCACTGGGCCTGGCTCACTGTTCTGCCACCCACCTCCGCCCACCAGGTGTCTCAGCTGTGCGTTTCTCCCTGATCACCATATGTGAGCCAATTTCCTTGGATTCAGTGACCACAGTCTGTGGTCAGGTGTGTATTCGCCTCTGGTCTGCGTCTGCCCTCAGCAGGAAGGGGCCTCAGGCCACGTCTCGCAGGCATCACCCCCACCCCTGGGTGAGGGACAGGTACGGTGCCAGCCGCCCTACCTTTGCTGCAGCAGGCCTTCCTGGTGGCATCCAGGGGCCTCGTCACTTTGGCCGGCTCGCCGGGGCCCAGGGGGTCCTGCTCTGCAGGCGGGCAGCCGGGCTCGCAGACGGCTTGTCCCTGCTCGGCCTTCAGTGCGATGGCCTGCTCCAGGAGGCCCAGGTTCCCGCGGGTCATCATGTCGTACATCTCAGACTCGTCTGTGACTGCGGACTTCTGGGAGCGCGTGTCTTCGTCCTTCCCATCGTCAGAGCACACCTCCACGATGACTGCGTATTCCGGCTGGGGGCTGGCGGGCTCCGCAGCCTTCGGGGTGGGGCCGCGGGGGGCGTCCTCCTCGCAGATCACATCGGGACCGGCGTCGTCCTCGTCCTCAGCCTCATCCTCGTTAACCAGGGCGACTTTCCGCTCGCTGGACTCCTCACCAGTCACACCCTCCAGGGACTGGGGACACAGCTCCTGGGAGTGCTCGCTGGTGACTTCGATGACTTCCTCTGCATCCTCTGGCTGGATAAAGACATCCTTGTCCCCTTCGTCGCTGGTGGCCCCTTCTTCAGCTTCCTCCTGAACCAGGCTCACCGCCCCAGGGCCCGGTCTGGCTTCTGGGCCCAAGTCCTCCCGAATCAGGGTCTCTTCGGCGATTTGGCCCAAGTTCAGGAGCGAGGTTGCAATGCTCTCCTGGTAGCTGCTGTAGACGCCCTTGCAGGGGCCCGTGGGGCTGCTGACGGGGTTGGGTCCCAAATGAGACTTGATGGGGCTCCTTCCTGCACAAAATCGGAAATGCCACGTGGGAGGAGCACGTGGGGAAGGCGGAGGGGCCTCCAGGCCTCTGGTCCCTGCGCCCTGCCCTGCCACAGCCGAGGGGACCGAAACCCCTGGAAATGCACCTCTGCCTGGAAGTGGAGGTCACGGGCACTGATTTTAGGAGATAGATGGGTCACTGCTGCTGTATTTCACAGCCATTATGTGCACTTCCTCAAATCAGAAAAACCTGCATTCCACACAAGAGCTCAAAGAATACACCACAACCTCAGTTGTTCCACAACTGAGAAACAGTAAACACCCACATTTAAATCTTCTATCCGCCGTGACTAAGATGCTGTGGTTTCCTCGACAAGCACTCAGGCTCACAGGAGCCAGCCCTGCCATCAGCTCGTGCCTGCGTCCGGAGGCCAAGCCCCAAACGGCACCTCTATAAGGAAGCAGGTGAGCTGGGCCCTTCTACCCGGAGCCCAGGAGGCTATGCAGCACTTGAGGCCCGCCAGGGCCCCAGGAAGAAGGCAGGTGTGGGGCCCTCCCTGGATTGGCTCCAAAATATAACAAAAGTGCTCCTCAGACCCTGCAAGGTCAGACGATACCAGAAGCCCGGGGGTGCAGGCAGGCTTGGACCTCAGGCCTCCACACCAGCATTCGCCACAGGCTGGGTGCCTGACCAGGCCAGTCCTGCGGGACCCCACAGGGACCAAGTGCGGGCAGGGGGACCCCCCAGTACCCCTCCCCCTCCTGGCTTCCTGGGTGCCTCCACAGTCTCGCCCGGCCCCAGGCAGCTCTTCCCAAAGGCCGACACACAGCCCACGTCCACGTGTCCGTCCATCTCCCACCCACAGGCCCCAGACTCGCTGTGCCGGCCCCTCTCCAGGAAACCCGGCCAGTATCAGGACAAGACATCACTTGTTCTCAGGAAGGGCTCTGTGGGCGGGAGTGGGCCCCCTGCTCACAGGCTGCGATTCACCAGAAGCACACTAAGCGCCCTTTATTGGGAGAGGGAAGAACAACAAAGCACCTTCAGCTGCCTCAGGGCGATGAATCTCGTCCTGTCCTGACATCTCGGCCTCGTCCTCCTCCAGAGTTCCTTCCGATTCATCCGAAACAGAGGCGTCCTTCACCTCGGCGTCCTCACTACCGTCGCTGTCCACGCTGTAGCCCTCGTCGAGAGCCAGCTTCAGGGGGTGTGACTTCCGCTTGCACGCCAGGCGCTGGGCCGCGGCTCCCTCCAGCTTCCTCTTCTTGGCCAGCGGGCAGCTCTGCAAACTGGGAGGAAGGAGACAAGGCCGGGGCCACCCTGTCAGTACCTCCCAGGGTCCTCCTGTGCCCTCTTCCGTTTCCCTTGGCGTTCCCTCGCACCCCTCGGCTAGCCACCCAGACGCCTGGCAAGCTGACGTGTTTCAGGTGACTGTCCACATCACAAGGTCCTGATTGTGCTTTGACTGGCATTTCCTGCTTTGCTCAGACCTCCCCTCAGTGGCCCCTGCACTGGGGTGGCCCAAAGTGTGGGTCCTGCCCAGCAAGCGGGTCCGGGGAGAGCCCCAGCCTCCAGCACCCCCAAGACCTTCACACCCCAGCCACAGTCTGTCTAAACCAGGCACTGCAGTGGGGGTGCCTGAGCTCAGTCTGACCCCCTGGGATGACAAGAGTGACACCCAGGTGGCAGGTCAGTTGGGTCACCCTGATGTGTACCCGGTCTGCTCCGGGCTCTCCCAGTACGCACACCGCGGCCACTCGGCCTCAGCGGTGAAGGCCCCGTGGTAACAGGGTCACGTGGGACGACACTGCGCCCAGCAGCCATGGGCAGACACGGAAGTTTCTAGATCCACAAAGGGCCCAGGGCGGGAAAGGGGTTCCAGTGCCCCAGCAACCCATCCTCGCTCCCCGGAACCCGGGGGGGGGGCCCATGAGCCTCCTTACCTTCGGTGCCTGGAGTACTTGCCTCGGACATGTCCCGAGCCCGTGCATCCTGGGGTGGGACAGCTGGGGGGGACAAGCAGGAGCGGTCACTCGGGGCAAGGGCTCCGCCCGGGTGGGGACAGGGTCTGAATCACAACCCACCCCAGATCCTCACCCTGGGGAGCAGAAAACTGTCTCCAAACAGTTCATTTCAGGACACCTGTGTGCAGTTTGCTAAAAATTTATGAAATAACCCCCACTTAAATAAATGAACGGCTCGTTACAATTTTATGAGTGTGCTTAATTAAAGATCTGTATGTATGAGATATAGCTCCCAACATCAGCATCTGGACAGCTCCCTTTTTCCACAGATAAGCGTCCCCATTGCAGGCAGACTGCCACCAGGTTGCCAGGGGCTGGGACACAGGCCCCTCAGGGGTGTCCCCAGAACCATCACCCAGGCTGGCCCAAGGAGAAGCAAAACACCGGACTCCACATGGGCACCACCGATGACCTTCATCCCTACCAGCTGTGCCTCTGCCTGGCAAACCAGGCCAGCGCCAGGCAGGTGAACTCTGTGACACACAGACATGGCCTGAGCCACAGGTCCCCAGCAGGAGGTGGGCACAACGCAGTGGCAGAGAGCCAACTCCAGAGCCAGCAACCTTGTGTGGTCAGCTTCCCATGGAGGGAGGTGAAGCCAGGGGGACCCAAGACTCAAGAGCTGCCTGTGAGACCTCAGTGTGGGGGTGAGACCCCAAGAGCGCCTCACCTTCACCATTGTCCATCTCCCACAGGCCCAGCCGTGGGCGGCTCTGCAAACTCCTGGTCATGGCCACAGGCCATGCCACCCAGCCCACCTCCCCAGGACGGCTCCCAGGGCAGCAAGAACCTTTATGGGGTGTGGGTCAGGGTCCTGTGGGCTGTGGGGCCCAACTGGTCTTCGGGCACACTTACTGACCTGTCAGGGAGAATAGAACAGGCTATGGAGGCAAAGCACCACCCTCAGCTCAGCAGTGGCCTTTGGGGGGCAGGGGGGAATCTGACGGGGACACTCCCTGCAGCCCTCCATGTTGGGACCTCCTGGCTGCCCTCAGTGCTGACTTTCACTGTGTTTACAAAGAAAGGAAAGGAGAGCGGGAGGACATGCCACTCTCTGCTGTAGGTCTCCTTTCCAGACAGGCAGGGGCCACCGCTGTCCCCCAGCTCACTGCTCTGGTCCACGCCCCCCCCTTGCTTTCACTCTCTCAAGAACCAGCTCTGCGACTTTTCACAAAAGCTCCTTGTTGGTGGGGATTTGAAGCTGAGGTCCCAATTAGTCGATTAATCACCAAGTTAATCAGGCAATTAGGTGACAGCTGCTGTGGAGGCCTGTAGGGCACTGGCACTGCCCCCAATCACGTCACCTGCTCCAAGACACACCTCCTGGCCTCCAGCCGGCCTTGGACGGAGGAGGGACAGCTCTGAGCCCATGTGCGAGGGCCACCCTCGGAGAGTGAAGCCCCTGGACCCCTGCTCCCCATGTGGCAGCACAGGGAGCACTCAACACGGATGCCTGGATGGGCAGGGAGGTGCCCAGAGGGCCCTCACGCAGCACTGAGCAGGGCCTGGTGACCCCTGTGAGGGACCCAAAGGTAAGCAGTAGGTTGTGTGACAGCAGAAAGGCCAGGCTAACATGCGGTGGAGGCGTCTGCTGCTCCTTCACCGGCACAAAGGGAAGAACCCCAGATGCATTTGTTTTCTCTGGGGTGCTTGAACTCACAAGCTGGGGGGGTCCCCCCGTCCCCGCCTCTCCAATCCTCAGCTCACCACTGTGTCACAACCACCATGCCACTGCCCAGAGCACAGGGGCTCCCGGGAGCTCTGCTTGAGCTGGGATGGGACGAGCTGGGGCGGGGGTGGCTGCGGAGCTCTGGGATGTAAGTCCCTCATCTATGAAGTGAGTCGTGTACGTGGCATTTGGCCCCTCGGGTGACTCCGCAAGAGCTGTGTGATATCACGATGTCCCTCTGCCCAGCCACAGCAGCTTTCCCTGTGGGTCATTCTCCCTGTGCTGCCACCCATGGATCTCGTCCGCAGCCCGGGGTACGCTGGAACGGGGAGTCCTGGCTTGCAGGGTCTGCCCTTCATGTGGCAGAAACGTGCCCATGGTGGCCGATGCAGAGACAGAGCCACGAGCGGCCACAGCTCAGGTCTCCACATGCAGCTTGCGGCACAGGCAGGAACGGCGCTCTGCACAGAATGTGACTTCTGCCACAGTCTGCTCTGTTTTACTCCAAGTCTTGACTCAGAATCATGAAGACGTCATTGCTAGAACGTTAGGTGCCTGTGGTTTGTCCCCAGTTTCCCATACAGATGATAAGGGTCTCACTGTCACCAAGTACATTGGTTGACCCATAAGATTAACGAAGGTGGACAAAATCCAGATGCTCGCATAAGCCCCTCACTTACACTGGCCAGGTCCTCGCTTAGAATATTTTTTAAAAATCTGTTTTGAGAGTCATTTTTGCTTCTGATGTTTCAGTTACAAGAGACTACCCAGCCCTTTGAGTTTGCCTTTCCAACTTCTTCCTGACTTCATCTGTTGCCAAAATTAATTGCTCTTACCAAAGCATGGAGCTTCCTGGAGTCATGCGTCCAGGCTCTGCCCCGTCATTGTCCCCAGGATGGCCCCAGGTGGGGCATGTCCCCAGGATATCACATAGCCCAGGGGAAGAAGCACCCTTCCTGGAAGCCTGCCTCTGCCCTGCGCTCTGCCCCCCTGAGCATCACACGCCTGGGGACAGCCTGTCAGAGGCGCCTCCCTCCAGGGAGCTGACCTGCTCTGGTTGCAGGTCTGCCCCCCCCCCACCCCCCCGGCCTGTGACCTAGGTCTGGGCTTTGAGCATGTGATTTGTTCTTCTGGTTGGATAAACTTTAATCCCCTCTGCCTCCGTTTCCCCGCCCCACACACACACACCCCTTCCCCTTCCATCTCCAACCTCACAGGTCAGAGGAACTCTGGGACACTTTGGGGCCCTCTCATTTTCATAATTGGCAAAGCCCATCCATTCGACTATGATCTGGTGAAGAATTCAACAGTCTAGGCCTCAAGTTTGTTCACAGCTTAGTGAGAGTCTTTACCCCTAAGAATTAAGAAGCAGACAAGGCTCTGGCACCATGGGCTCTGTGGACAGCTGCTCTGGGCTGTCACCCCATTCTCTGCATGGGCACAGCCCCCCACTGATGCAGCCCACCTGTCAGCTGTCTCGGCACCAGGGGCTGGGGGACCAGAGCTGATACTGGGAACGGGGGACAGAACCTTTTCATCCTTCCAGGAGGAGCCTCGGGCAAGCTGTGTCAGCTGCAGTTCAAGTCTGGCCCTGTCACACAGGGAATTTGTGGAAACTCCATGGGTACCCGATGCCCACATGCCACACTGGGGGCCCTCGGCAAGCACCACGTCCCCTCCTCCTCTCGTGCTAAGACCCAGGACGCATCAGCACTACCCCTCCTCAGAAAAGAGGGCGCCTGGGGGCCAGCTCTCTTGGCCAGTTACTGGACACTGTTCATCAGAGCTGCCTGAGCATGATGGCACCAGGGCTGGCCCTGGAGACCCCAGAAGAGCCCAGGCCCACAGAGTCCGAAGTCCAGAGGCCATGTGGGTGCTGCTGGGACAGCCCAACACACAGGCCTTTGGGTGTCTTTCCCTCTGGCCTTCCCACACCTGCAAAGGCTTTGGCCACACCAGGACAGAAGCCAGCAAGCGAGGACAAGTCCGCCTAAGGGGCGAAGCACCTGGCCCCTCCTGCTTTGACCCAGCAAGTCCTCCTTAGGACATCAGCCCCTACGAGACGTGGCTGGAACCCAGAAAGTCATAGGGCTCAGCCGCTGCCGAATCGCTAGCACACACACCACTGTCTGTGTTTGACTCCGTGGAAGACTCAGGACTGGGGACAGCCAGCACAGAAGCATTTGGGACAGCCCACTAATCCAGCACCTTGTTGCTGGCTGGGGACCGTGGTGACAGTCAGGTCCTGGGGGTGAGCAGGTGTGCACCGTCTGTGCGCCTGTCGTGAGGTTGGCTGCATGGTAGGGCCAGGATGTGGGAATGGGGGCGAGGAGGGGAGAGGCACGTGGCAAGGAGAAAGGCGGCCTCGTTACAGAAAACAGAGACCCAAGGGGGCACAAGTGGTCAAGCCGAAGTGCCCAGTGTGGGACATTTAGGACGTCCAGCATCACAGACACACACAGTGCTCAGTGCTAGCAGGAAGTGTTTCTTACCTGAGGTCGGCGCCTACGGGCTCTGGAGGTGCTGGGGGAGAGAAAGAGAACGACAAGGACACACGTGTGGGAGTCAGCACTGAAAAACCACATGAATGCAGTGAGAAGCGGGGAGCACCCCACCCCATAAGGACTGAACCCCACCTTCTCCTGGCCACCTAGAATGCCTCCAGGGTCAAGTGCAGCAAGCTGCCTCCTCCAACCCAGGGCTCACGCCAGCCCCTCCCCGTGTGGGGCTGATGGCCCTAGGAGTGGGATGGACACCCCACCTAAGCCAGGCTCTCTGGGCGTGGGCGCCCAGGGCTGGGATGCCATCTCTCTCTAATTGCACACAGAAGTTGGATTTGGGCAGATAAGGCTGGATGGAGAGGAGAGGAGACGGGCCAAGTGACTGGTCCCTCAGTGATGAGGCCACGTGGGGCAAAAACACACAGGGGTCCGACGGGCAGCACTCCCCTCCCCCGGTGTGTGCTTTGTGGTGTCCAGGGGCTGAGGCTGGTCAAGGGGACTGCCTCGGTCCTTGCAGAGCCCCCTCCTTCCCCACTTCACTGCAGTTCAATCCAACCACCTGCTGGTCCCCACCAGCACCACCACTGACATCCTGGGAGGCAAAGAGGCGAGTGACGAAAGGCTGGCAGCCTTTCCTTTCCAAACAGACGGTCTCTAACAGTTTTGTTTCCCCAGCTCTGTGCAGTGTGTCTGCATCCTCATCTCCGCCCCATGCAGGTTTGTCTGGACCAAAGGCTCCAGGCCACGTGCCCAGTGTAGGGACAGGCCAGGGCTACACACTACTGTGGGGCTCTGTCTTCCTGAGGGGAACTGCTGGGGAAGTGACATTCACGTCTCTGGCACCTGGGACCCAGGCAGGAGGGAAGGGCGCGCTCACTGACCTCGGAGGGCCTTGGATCGTGTGCGAGCTCGCTTGTCCTCAGTCTCTAAGCTCATCTGTAAGAAACACAATGGCCATGTTAACGGGAAAGCTGAGGGTTTCTCCAGGACCTCCAGTCACTTTCCAGCTCAAGCATCGCTGGTGATACAGAATGGCAAGGGACAGGCTCACAGGACAGGAGCAGCCTGGGACCAGGAGCAGCAGGCACGGGGCACGGGATCCAGCGCAGAACTTCCCACCCCTGGGGCCCCCCCCTGCCCCACCCACTGCTCACGGGGCCCAGGGGCTAAAGCCCCAGGGAAGGTCGTCGCCCCAGACTCTGCCCACCCTGGCGCCCCTGAGCCCAGACTCCCCGGTGACAGAGCCAACATGCCAGGGTCAACCTGTTAGAAGCAGGTGGCTGGGACCCAAACGGACCTCCACGAAGTGCCCACAGATGGGACGGCTTTAGTTTCTATTGTGCAATATCCCAGGAAGAGCCCAAGGAGAGGTGGCCTGAGCTGGGGGCCATCCCTCACGTGAGACGGCATGCCCCGTGCATGTGTGTTCCTAGAGGCATAGGGGCTGCCCGTGTCACTTCCAATTTTCTAACAGCCACATTGAAAACAGAAAAAGAAACAGCTAGACTTGACTCTCATACTAAACTTACTTATCCCAATCTATCTAACATATCATCATTTCTACAATAATCAATATAAAACATTATGAATGCTTTCTGTGAATAACTTAGTTTTGTGATAACTTAGAAGCCTTGATGTGACCTGGGCTCATGGCACACCAGACTGTGACCAGCCACATGCCACGTGTCATGGCCACTGTGCTGGATGGTGTGGCTGCAGAGGCAGGAAGTGTCTCAGGTGAGAAAGGCAGGAATGTGGCCAAGGGGTCATCTGGACCCACAGGCCACCCTCCCAGAGCTGTCGTTTCTCCCAGGGGTGGGTGAGTAGAGCCCCCTGAGGGGTCAAGGCACCCCACACAGTCTAGGTCCCACCATCCCCTGGTCGCCCCACTAGCCCATCAGTGACCCCTCCCCACCTACACTCTCTGCCCCTCACCCACCCCCTTCAACTCCCTTGAAGGAGTTGAGGGACAGCCCCCAGGAGGGTGAAGCTTGGGGATAAGGGACGCCCCTGGGGCTACAGATCTTCACACAGAATCCTTGATCTGCCCATGACAGATCTGGGCAGGCAGTGACGACCACGTAGGTGGTGGGAGAGAGCCCCAACAATGTGCTCCGTGTCTCCAGGGCAGAGAGGCCCGCCAGCAGAACATTTGGCCTGGGCCGTATGCCCCAGGAGGCCCCCAGGAGAGCAGGGGCTCAGCACCTGTCCCAGTGGTCCGGAGGAGGAGGGAGCAGTCACTCCTGTCCCAGGCCACCGCTGAGGCTGCCAGAGGGACAGCCGGTGTGTAACTCACCGCCCGGGGAAGGGACAAACAGGAATTCCCTCAATCAGTAAGACGGAATTTGCAAAGCGGACCTGCCCCATAGGCAGCACTGACACACTGATTTCCGTGTACGGTCCAGGGAGAGACACCAAGGCTGGGGACGATTTATGCAGCCTGCCTTGCGGCGTTTGCTGCAACCCTCCGACTACGGCACAGAAGACAATTGCTACCGTTTCTATGGTGGAAGCGAAGGTTCCCATGGACCGATGGCCCAATTTAAAGCGAAGGGAGGAGCAGCTGTCAAAGGGGCTCCTTGCATTTTCGGGGCTCCCAGCGCCCTCTGCACAGAGCGCCCCTGACGCAGGACAGACATGCAGCTGCTGTGGCTGATTGCTGGGCGCCTGCTTCCAGCTGAAATGCAATCTACAGCTTTTTTTTTTCCTTCCTTCCTTTCTTCCTTCCTTCCTTCCTTCCTTTCTTTCTTGGGTTTGTTTTTTTTTTGTATTTTTTTTTGTCAGTTTCCCAAGGAAGCTGTCAATATTCGGCTAAGTTAAGGCGTGCCTTGGCGACTTGGATTCCTTGCAGATCAATAATGATTCAGAGCCGAGAATGGGAGGGCAGAAGGTGTGGTGGGCGGGGCTCGCGGTGGGAGGGGCTTGTGAGCGCGAGTCCTGAGAGGCAGACAATGTGGCTGCGGGGTGGAGCGCCTCCCATGGGCAATTTATCAGCACCAAATGATCAATAAGTGAGGCGTCCTCTTTAGTGCAGGTGGCCATGGTTTTAAAAGGGAACACAGCAAACTACCGGAAGAAAAGCGGGTTAGCTCTCTGTCGCGGGTGACTGGAAGAGCCTGCGGACTTAGGGCGTCAACAGCGAAGCCGGAAGCTCTGATTTCTGAGTTTCAAACCAGCAGCGCCTCGGAAGCATCTGGGCAGAACTGGGGTGAAACCTGACACGCCGATGTACACTTCTCCTCGGAGAACACAGAGCATGTCAGAGGTGGGTTCTCTGCCGTTCTCACGGCCTGGACATCAGGGCTCCAGGTCCGCAAGAGAGAGCGCAGGGCCACCTGGTAGCCCCCACCGCACTGTGCCAAGAGGAGGAGGCACTTCCCAAGTTTTCGTTGATTCATTTTTAAAAAGCCTTCATGGGCCGGCCGAGTGGCACGTTGGTTAGGAGTTGGCTTGGGACGCCAGCTCTGAGCAGCAGGGCCCCGGTTTGGATCCCACATGGGCCAGTGATGCTGCGCCCTCTACAGCTAAGATGGTGAACAACAGCTCAACCTGGAGCTGGGCTGCCGTGAGTGGCCGGCAGCCAGTGTGAGCTGCCATGAGCTGCTGTGAGCCAGCATGAGCGGCCGTCCAATGGCCGGTGACCGATCTGCCTCAGCCAGAAAAAGCACAATGATCACAATACCAACATGGGCCAGTGAAGTGACGTCCTCCACAACTAGACTGAAGAACAAAAGGACAGCAACTTGTTTGTTCCTCTTCCCCGATTCCCCAACGCTGTTCCTTCCCCCCAATTCCCCAATAAAACCTTTAAAAAATAATAAATTAAATAAATAAATAAATAAAAAGCCTTCACTTGCTCCAAGCACAAGCTAGTGAAGTCCCTATTTTTGGACAGCCCACAAATAAGCGAGTGGCTTCTCTCCTTGAGGGTAAAAAATGCCCCCTTGACACAGCCCAGCCAGCATCAACCCCCACTCTCACTGAGGGGCCCCGGAGCTGCCTCAGAGCATGTTCGTGTAATGCTGTAGCACCCTGCCACGGGGCGTGTCACAGCCCCCTGGGTTGCCAACTGGTCTCTTCACCCATCAGTATTCATTGGTTCTGTCCTTGGGAGAGAAACCATGGGGAGGAGAAGAATTCGCAAACGTAAATACACCCCTGTGCTGCCACACCTACTACCAGAGAGCCCTGTACACACCCTCCATTTCACTTGCTTTGTTAGACCACAGAACAGTGGTCTCACTCCAGAGGCTTTGTTCCACTTTCTGTTTTCATAAACTCAAGATCAACTATGTGAGCTATTTTTAAGTATCAGCGGTTTCCACAGTGACATGCTACACAGACCAGTCTCTCTTCAGACCCGTCTGCAGAGCACCACTGCTACACCTGAGACCCCTGACTGGGATGGTTACAGGCTCGGGAACCAAAACAGCCAATGAATGTATTCAGCAGCCTCAAAACCTGTAGATTCATTTGGACTCAGGCTGTGATGGTCAGAAACACACTCAGAACCCAACACACAGCCAGGGACAAAGAGGGGAGGGTGGACTTCAGTGTCCCACAATGTCCACTCAGAGGTTTCTCACAAGGGTGCAACCAGGCCCCACAGGCTATGTGCCAACCTTCATTTTATCCCCGGAGGCCAGGGCTGCCTACCTTCCACCCAAGTTCAGGGGCTTTGTGCTGGTCTCTGGAGGGGTGTCCCTCCCCCCACTCTCTTTTCTTCTTGGTTCTGCCCAGGCCTTCCCTAGCCTGCACCCTGTGCCACGTCCCCGCCCTTCTGCACAGGTGGCTAAAGGCTGGACAGAGAACAGAGTCCGTGCAGCCCAGACATTGTCCCTGACCCCTACAGGATGTCCTGGCTCAAGTAGCACCATACTCAGTGCCCGAGGGTCCCTCACTCCAGGGAAGGGGGATGTCAGGGGACAGTCCAGACTTGGGAGCCTCAGTGGGGGTGAGGAGGCTCCATGGATCAGTGAAAACAGGACGCTTAGGGAGGGACCCCTCAGGCTGGGAGCAAGGAGCATGCTTGGGTGGCCAGCACCTGATCCTTTCACTCACGGCCCCACCTAGATCTAAAACAAGCTCATTAGTTCCTGTTTCGAGGTCACTGTGTCTCCCTGCAGAGAGTGAGGCGCCATGGTCCTGTCCCTGCTCAGTGCAGACTATGTAAGAACGGCAGACGGACAGGTGGCTCTGACACCCTGGAGCTGGGTAGGGGTCCAGGCCCCCTGAGCCCTAGCTGGAGGAGGAGACACAGTGTTTCATTTATTTAGAATTTGTTCCAACAGCGAGCAAACCTGGAGAATTAGAATGGACTTAGGACAATTTTTTAATCCACAAGATTATATGGATTATAGAGTCCTTGTGGGAGGATGGAGGTGCTTTTCCTCCCGGAAGAGGGAGGAGACCACAGGCAGCCCTGCCTAGAAGGAAAGAGTGACATGGGGACATAACAAGAGGTGGCAGGGAGCTGGCTTCCATCTGCCCTGTTGGCTCCAGCAGCACCTGCCCAGTCTCCCCTTTGTCCATGGGATGGAAGGAGAGGGGGCGGGCACCAGTATGGACTGGCTTTGTCCTCTCACTTGTGCACAGGTATGTCCACACCACATGTACTGTGGTAGAGCCATGTCCCCACCACTGGGAGACGCTCCACTGAAGAACGTGAGGGCAGCATTCAGTGTGTTCCTTGCTCCCTCTCCCACCAAGTGTGGCTATGGAACCCTTCAGGCCCCCATCCCAGGCCCATCTGCTGCCTGCACAGCTTCCCTTCCTCATGCCGGAAACGGGTCAGCCCCACAGGCAGCCTCTGCTTCAAGGAGGTAGCGCACACACCCTGCTTCCCATTCCCTGGTGTCTGGGGCTATACCACATGCCCCCCACACCCCTGACAGCCATCACAGCACCCCTGGTTCCCTGAGGTGACAATTCTGTCCGCACTTTGGGGGCACCCCACTGTGTGTTGGAAATTCTCCTGACATCCCACGCATTGTCCGACCTACTGGCAGTTGAACAGAACAGCCTCCTCCTTGGCTTGTAGAAAGGACATCCATGGAGCATTATTTAACTCGTGTCTTGGGAAGGGTTCTCCTGACATCTGCAAGCACAGGATCAGGGCTCATGCAAACCCCAAATTAAACATTATAGCTACATAATGACACCCTGGTACAGCACATCTGGGACCATTTTGAAACTCTGACATAAATAGAATTTCTACCTACCCAGAGAAAGGAACCTGGCCACATCAAGTGAGGTAGGACAGGAAAGTCACACCCAGTGCTACCTCCCTCCCTCGTCAGGACCATCTGGTCAAGGCAGCAGGAAGAAAGCCTGGCTGAGCAGCCTGAGGTCAGCCTTCCCCTCAGTTGCATCTCTCTAGTCATCAGTTTAATATTTTGTGATTTGGGCCCAAGGGTTTCATTGTTCAAGATCAAGAAGAGGTTTAAGGACCTACCATCAATGCCTACTTCTGTTCTAAGTGTAAACACACACACACAAACACACACACAGAAAAACCACACACACACACACACACACACACACCCAGCACACCCCCAAACACACACACACCCCGAGTACACCCCCAAACACACACACACATACACAACCAGCACTCCCCCCAATCTCTTCTAATGCACCTCCTGACCCACCTCTGAGCTGTCCACACGCCTGGTGCTGAACTCCAGGCTGACCCGGGAGACAGCTGTGGACAGATACCTCCCACAGAGCTCTGCTCCCAAGGCCGTCCAGGCCAGTCCTGCAGTTGCCATGAGAGACTCTGCTCTCCACGCCAGCACTTCAGGGCGGCAGCCTTCTCAGCCTCCTCAGTCAAAAGCCACCAGCTTCCCCCGCCCTGCAGTTCTGGGAAGTGGCCCTTTCACAGGAAGGTGCTCCCTCCTTGTCTAGCCCAATCTTCATCTCAGCTTCTCTGCTCAGAACAGCACCTCAGGCCCTGTCTGCCCAGACTAAAGGAGAGTGACTCTTGAATGGAGAACCCGTGAGAGCGATGCTGCTAGGGAACCTGAGCGTGGCCACCAGACGTGTTCATGGCAGGCCCCACACCCTCCGAGCTCAACGCTCCAGAGCCACAGGAGACAGCCACTCCTACCACCGCACCCAGCTCCAGCAATGCAGACACACGTCACCCAGAGCCCCGGCTCAGGTTGTGTCCAGGCACGCCTTTTATTGCACCTCGCAGACACTGCACTTTTTACAGATGGAAGGTCTGCGGCCCCTGCGTCAGCGAGTCCTCCGGCGCCATTTTTCCTACAGCACTTGGTCACTTCATGTCTCTGTGTCACATCTTGGAAATGCCATATTTCAAACTCTTTCACTATTATTATACTTGTCATGGTGATGTGCGTCAGGGACCTTTGATGTCGTTACTATAACTGTTTTGGGCGCCGTGGGCCTCACCCACATAAGACAGCAAACTCAATATCGTGTGCGTCCTGCCTGTGAAAAGATTTCATGTGACTTGCTTTATTGCGAGACTCGCCTTATGGTGCTTGCCTGGAACCAAACCCACAACATCGCTGAGGTCCAACCGAAACTTTTTGGTCGCGGAATCTCTGTTTAGGTGATCAGGGCTGGGGTGGGCTAAGGCAAGTGAGTCATACACCCAGGTGCAAATTTAAGGGGGAAACAAAACTCAGTGATCGAGGTTAAACAAGAGTTTAATGCAATACCTGAAAACATCAAAATTAATGCAAAAAATTCATGATGAACACAATGCCAAAAATTAAAAAAAAAAACAGGATTTGTATCACTGGCCTTTCCTTGTGCCTTCTGGCCCCAGCATGGCTCAGCAGGACAATGACAGTCCCACAGGAGTAAGGGGATGGGTGATGCTGCTTAACAAGTTGCTTCCCCAGACCCACTAAAATGCAAGTTCCAGTCACCAGATTCAAGAAAAAAATGCTGAGCATCCAGAGTAAGACACAAGCACCCTCAGATGAGGCTGCCACCTAAACTCTGTAGCCCTTCCCACCTACACTCTAGGCTGTCACATCTTGGTGGCCATGCCCTGGGTCATGGCTTGGATCCCTGATGGACGGCATCTACATGTCAAGAAAATGAGAGACCAGATTCTGAGATCAGGGAAGGGGTGCCCACCAAGCCTGTTGTCACCTCCATTTCCATTTCTGAGGGTCACGTGACCCTGGGGACCTGGCTTCACCCAGGGTGCTCAGCATGGCTGTATGCGCATGTGATATCATGGGTTTGGGAGCAGCACTGGGAGGGGGCCTGAGTCACCACCGCCAGTGAGTGACAGGCATGCACCATCTGCTCCCACTTGGAGAGATCGAAATGAACAAGGTCATCAGACCTCACGAGTCCCTAGGGATTGGCAGCCTGCCCAGGTCACAGCGGGGAGAATGACAACAGTGACAGGCACGTCAGGAGCCCAGTATGACCTGACCTCAGAGCAGCAACCTGACTGAAGTGAGACCCCACTGTCATACTGTAGATTTACTCCATTCACTCGGTTTCTTTCCTTTAACTTTTTTTTTTCCTCTAATTTTAAAGTGACAAGATCGCTGATGGTCCTAGCCCCCTCCTGTGCTTTGCCGATCTAGACCGATGCTGCCTGGACCAAAAGGCAGCTCTGTGCTGCATGCCTGCTGTGACAAGGACCTTTGCCTAGACCCAGGCCCAGGGCACAGCTGCGCTCCGAGCTCCTCACCTTGCTGCGTCCGTCCAGGAGGCTCGAGGTCCTGCAGCTGCTGGCCTTGTCTCCGTGTGTCCACCTCTGACTCAGCAGCTCACCCCGGAACTCATTTTCTGAGGGTCACAGAAAGAAACGTAGTGAGTACCAGCTGCACGGCTGGAGGGCAGAGGCTGCGAGCTGTGGGTCACTCTTTTACCCAGTGGTGTGCAGTCCCCCCATTTCCTGGAAATCACTGAAAGGCAAACAAGGTCTGGCCCATGACAGTTCAGGGACGAGGGACGGGAGCCCTTTGGGGAAGAGCACCGTGCAGTGGGGCTCTGCAGCTGTGCCTCGGGCCACTCCTCGGAGCGGCTGGCACGGCCGGTGAGGTCGGCACTTGGCGGCCCTTTGCCCTGGCTCCTGGCACCTTTCCTCGCCAGGTCTCTGCCTCTCTGCAGGGTAAGGCCTCCGGTTAATATTCAGTTCCTCTTATAAATTCACATGTCTACACAGAGGCTGAAGGCATCAGCTGGACATGACAAAGAAATGTGTTGTGTACCTATTCCCTGCAAGGCACTCCCCGTTTCCATGACAATCAGCTTTCTACAACCGCAGCGTCTGCAGGAAGGTCATTAAGTAACCAACAATACAAACAGGAAATGAAAATTCCCGCACTCAGCTAGCTCTCTGCTTCTCCTTGGAAGTGATTTGCAGTGTGCTGAGGGCCGATCAGGCACGCTGTTTTACGCCCATTATCTTCCTTCCCCTTGTTTTTGAACGTGCATTCCCAAAGGTTGTTTTTCTAGAATTCCGCCAAGCCTGCCCCAGGCAGCCCTGTGGCTCTCAGCCACAGCTCCTCCATCTGGAATTGCCTCCAAGCCCTTAAAGACCTCCTGTGACCTCCAAGGGCACAAACACAGAGAAGCAGACTGGTTGTCAAGGAGACGCCTAATGTGAGGTCTTCAAAGGAGCAGCTTGGTACCTACTGTGCGCCTCCCCCACTGTGCTGTTGGTCACCAGCAGGGGACCCCTGTGAGGACTGGCCTGCACTGGAGCTGTGAGCTGGTGGACTCTCCCAGCTATAGTCCCCACCCACGGGTCATCAGCTCTAAATGTGGCAGCCCTCTGCATGGGGATGGAGAAAGGTGACTCAGGGGACAAGTCACTGGAAGACACATGCAGGTGGGAGCTGTGTTGATGGATGGTGACAGCGGAGGCTGGGAGACCCCCAGCTGCAAAGCACATGGGGTTCACTTCCCACAGGTACTACCCCGGAGAGAAGACACCACAGAAACCCATGCACTGGGCTGGTTTTCAAGGCTCAAGTGGCTTCTTGTCACAGCGACATATGTAAATATGTGAGGTAACTGGCATGTGTCAGTGACAGCTGGAGGGAAGTACCTAAGATCCTGGGATCTGTGTCACCAGCAGGATTGTCTCCCCTGCACCCCTGCCCCCGCCCAACAGGGTGCCCTGAAGCCCCCACACACACCCCTGCGACCCCCTGAGCTCTGTCTCCTCGCACTCTTGCCTGCTTCCCAGGGAAGCCCAGCGGAGGGGCCTCTGGTTCAGTTCGATGGGTGACAATGAGCTCACAGGTGCGCTAACCTGCCCGGGGAATCCTGGGAAGAGCCCTGTGGGCCCTCCCCACCCCCACTCCCTGGGTTCCCCACCTCTGCTGGGGCCCTAAAAGCATCATCACCTCTAAGGCCACTCCTATCTCCTCCAGGCACCTTAGTGATGGAGCTCACGCCCCTGGGTGCCAAGCGAAATCAAGCGCAACCAGACCCTCACTGACAAGGACCCAGCTCTACCTGGATATGAGTCCTTCTTTTTCCTGGGAAATTTTTTTGCAGCAAACTGTCGTCACCACCAGTGCTTCTTCCCCTGGCTGGGGAACAGGCCACAACCGCTTGCACAGAGGCAGCATGTGAAGCCCCCACACACCAAAACAACTGCCAAGGCCTTGGGGTCCTATCAAGATGCCCCTTCCAGAAATCACGCTGCCACTGGATGCTGCCTGAGGGGGGTGGGGGGGGGCAGAGCTGCTCTCAACCCTGACCCACCTGTCACCTTCTTCAGCATGGAGTGGGAGGGAAGAACCGTCAAGAGACTTAGAGAAGGTAGGGACAGTGTCCGCACAGCGTCCGGTGCACAGTGGGTGTGCGAGGATGTCGCTGCCTTTCTTACCAGCAATCTGAAGTGAGGGGGACGTTGTGCTCAAGATGAGCCCTTTCTTTGGGTTCTTAGCTCTCTTTTGAGTTCCTCTGAACCTCTGCTCATGGACTCAAACAGCAAACAAGCCGCTTGGGAGCAGGTGGTATGGACGGGGGTCCATCTGTCCCCTCAGAGACCCCAAAATCACTTTTACGAGACTCTGGCAGGCAGACAAGTTCAGGAAAGCAATGCGGGCCCAGGGGAGGGGCGTCTCCTGGCGACCCAGGCTGTCCCCCTCCTAACAAGCTTGCCTTCCCCACTGGGCAGGACTGTAGACCCAGGACCAGTCCAGCCAGGCCAGACCCAGAGCCCCTCAGCCCAGCCCTCCCCTGTCACCCCTCTGTCCCCACAGAGGGAGGGGGTTCTTGCATCTCGGCTGAGCCAACCTCTCCCTTCGGGCTTATTGCCTCCTCCTTCCCACTTCTGATTAAAGGGTCCCAGGGGCATCAACCATACCCCACGTTCCTCTCAACTGGACCCTTCCTGAGGCTTTTTGGCTCTCCAACAAGCTGCTGACATCCACGTTTAAAACACCATCTGGGTGGAGCCCACCCGGCCCCGCGACCTCTCAGCTCACGGCCCTCATAACCATAATTCTTAAGGGACCCAAACTGGCCGTCTCTACTCCCACTGCCCACTCCCCACTCCCACCGGCCTCCACCAAAACAGGCATCCTTGAAGGGTCACCCACAATGACCCGTCACTTCCCCACTGCACACTCGCTCCCTGCTGCCCCAGACCCAGACCCCCTTCTGTGCCACCCGCCATCCCACAGGCGCCTCTTCTGATTTGCGTCCCTGTTCGCCAGGTCTGCTTCTCACAGGACTTGAGCTTTTCTCCCCTGTCTCAGCCACCTGGAGCCCAGACATGGGATCATCTTGGGTGCCAGGTCCTGCCACCGCTATTTTCTGAGTCTCGCCGGAATCTGACCACTTCTGCCTCTCCAGCTGTTTTGTCCTGTTTGCAAAAGATGACAAACCGATTCCAAAATGACAATTCGAGGAACATAGATTAGCCAAAACAATGAAGTTGGACCCCTCTGGCACCACGCGTTAAAATAAATACAATAGATCTCACATCTAAATGAGAGAGCTGAGACTTAGAAAACATAGGAGTAAACCTTCCTGATACTGAGTTAGGCGATGGTTCCTTAGATATGTTGGCAAAAGCACAAGCAACAAAAGAAAAAATGGATAAGTTGAACTGTATCAAAATTTAAAATTTTATACATCAAACACCATCAATAAGGTGAAAAGACAACCCATAGACTGGGAGAAAACATTTGCAAATCATGTATCTGATAAGGGCCTGGAATCGAGAACAACGAAGCGCTCTTATGACCCCATAAAAAGACAACCCAGTTCTAACATGGGCAAAGGGGTCTGAACAGACGTTTCTCCAAAGACCACGTATTCATGGCAAAATGAACAGACGCTGCACACCTTGTCACCAGGGAAATGCAGACCAAAGCCACAACGCAGCACCATGCGCACACACCGAAGTGGCTTTAATTCTTTAAAACACACAGACAACGACAAGTGTTGCAGAGAATGTGGAGACGCTGGAATACTCGCGTACAGCTGATGGGAAAGCAAAATGGTACAGCTGCTGTGGGAAGCGATCTGGCAGCGCCTCAGGTACAAAACAGACTGACCAGACGACCCAACAACCGCACCCGAGAGAAACGACAACGTGCGTCCACACAAAGCCTTGCCCACAACTGTTTATCTCAGCTTTATTCCTCAGCCAAAATGTGAACACAACCCAAACGTCCAGCAGGGGCTGAAAGTTTGTTACAAAACATGACTGACCTGTATTTGGCAGTAGAAAAGATTACAGCACTCCTACACGGTTCAATGAGAGAAGGCAGATGAACCAGTCCGTACTCATGGACCGTCCAGAACGGCAAACAGGCAGACAGGACGTGCACAGGGGCTGTGGGGCCGAGGGAGGGGTGATAAAAGTGCTTTGAAATTAGATGGTGGTGACAGACACACAGCTCTATAATATGTGAGACCACTGAAATGTGTACTTCCGACTGGTGAATTATATTTCAATAAAGCTGTTTTTAAGTCTGTGGCACGCACGACAGACCTAAGTGTGAGGTGTCACCACGTGCTCCCCACTCAGCATCACTGTGGACGCCCAGTCCCTGAAGGAACAGGTGCCATGACCAGCTCTAAAGAGGGGAGAGGCCTGCAGGTCAGACACCCCTGCAGTGTCCTGCTCAGCCCAGGCACGGCTCCTGCCACAGAGCCCGCCACCCAGGAACTGGAGTGCTGGTGGCGAGGGCCATGCGATGGGAGGGCGCTCAGGGCGTCTGGGTAGCTTCAGGAGAAACGTCCAGAGGCTGCTCGTCCGACAGTCATTTCCTGATGACAGGAGCTGCCCAACAAGAGTGAACTGCCTCCTGCCGTGGCGTGTGAGCCCCAAGGCAAGGGCCTGGGTAGTGAGGCCGTGTCCAGGGACTCTTGCATAGGACAGGAGGCCCGGGGCGGGGGGGTGTTGCAGTTGGCTCCCCCAGCTTGGGATCTGTGAGCCTGTGTCTTGGTGCAGCCTGGACTGCCCACCGACCCTCATCCTGGAGGCCAGGGGGGACTGGGTCCAGAGTGCAGGGGGAGGGTGAGAGTGATGGTGACGATGGGGGCAGGCCATGGAGGGCAGCGGGAGGCCCCTCAGACACACCCCCACCCCAGCGCAGCTTGGTCAACATGGGCCAAGAGAAAACACTGCCCCTGTGCAGCCAGGAGGCATCTGGACTCAGAAGAGCACAAACCCAGCTCTCAGTGTGCGTGGGCAGCCACCCCCCGGCCCCAGCACTAGACATGACAACTTGCGCCAGTGCTCATGCAACACGTGTTCCTGCCTCCCAGACCCTACTCGACCTCAAGCCACAAACAGAATATGCCTTTGGGAA